TAGAAATACAAGGCAAATGCACTACGCGGAGCATATTCAAGATGAATTTAGAACGTTAATCAATTACTTCCACACTCTTCTGATCATTTAGTAGTAGATGACATTTCTTATTATTTCTAAAGAAATGCATTTTTTGTCATATAATAATTGTAAGATAATGTATTCCCAAGAATGAGAATGTTAAGTCAAGTGCCTCATGGATGGTTTTCAATAGTATTCTCTCCTTTCTTCAGGAACATCCTCGATGGTTAAAAAGTGTACCTTCATTTCGTCTCTATGGTTCTACTAAAATTATGGAAAGATTTTCTTATTTAAACCTTACCTTATCTTCAGTTCACCCCAGATCTTTTTAATTTAAATTTCACAATTTCTAAGAAACCCTCAATTATCTTCCCAAACTACCCTTTAAATAACACCACAATTTTAAAAATAAGAAATAAAATAATCCAATTGTCAGTTAGCTACAACTTGCATCTAGGAGTGTGTTGCCATCTGATTTCCATTCATGTAATACTTTGAAGCTTTTATTCAAGTTGAAAAGCATACAAGAAAAATAACCCAACTATAAAAAGCGTATTATATTTCTAGATGTCATACTTCTGGAATCCATGAAGTAACAATATATATTTTTACTGTTCCCTAGCCAAAAAAAAATAACATAACAAATAAATGGAACCTAAAATCCGAAATTTTAACTACTTTCTATAATAAGTAGACTATCTTTAATTCACAACATCTATGTCTAAAATTATATATAATTATAATATATAAACTAATCCAACAAAAGCAATCACGCCAAGCACTCAACAATAGGTAAGCCGATTTCAGATGCATTTCAGCCAAATACAATTCATACAGTCTTTTCCATCAGGTTCCCTCACACAATTTTTTCATGCCGTTCAATGTTCTACGTACTCTTGGCAATACGATTGGAGGATTTTTGTATTTTTTTCTACACTTAATATGAATGTGGTGGGTGTGTGTATATTCGTCATATATGTATAGGGTGAAGTAGTAATGTTTGTGATGCCCTTTTTTGTCTTTTTCACCCATATATAAAACTTATACTTAAATGATTAAGTTATTGAGTGTAACTAGAGAAGTGTAGGGATTTAATATCGAAAATTCCATAGTGAAAGGGCTCCTTTCTGACATAATCAGGTTTCTCTCTTTTTCATATGCGTCCTTATAGGATTTGTCCGTAATCATTGTTCATGTTATGTGAACTTTCATTAAAAAATAAATCAATTTTTTTCCAAGAGGTTAAAAAGTCAAGTCTTTGTTTTTTGTTACTTTTTTCTTATAGGACGTTGTGAGCTACCTAACCTTGTGATTTTTTGATCATCTATAATTTTTATTTTCACTTTTTTTTGTTTTTGTTCTTTTCTCATTTCCATCATTCCCATCCCATTCTCCAGAAAAAAAAAAAAAAAAAATTTTAATTTTTTTTTCCTTTATCTTCCGTTTTGCGTTTTACTTCCTTATGGAAGGGCACAGTTTCCCCACATTGCCTTGAGAACCAGACTGGTCAACTAAGTCAGCTTATCTTTCTTGGGTGTGCGAAGCGTGCACTGCTATGTAATAAAATTCTAGGACTTAGTTTGGAATGGATAACTTCGTTCCCAAGTTACTGCTTTCTTGCAAAACAAGCGTTGTGAATTTGGGGTGAGGACTATCTCCCGCGTAAGTTTGTTTTCCTTGCCTCGACTGGTGAGGACTTTCAACAATTTTATCTCAGTTATAAAGAGGTTGTTCTGGTCAGAATGTTGAATGGGTTTAACTGTTTTTTTTAGGCGGAATTGCCTTTTCCCAAAATATAACAATAAATTCTCATGCTAGAATGAGATGAAGAACAGCTAAACTCCTTTCTGTCGAGATTGGAAGGTTCTGATCCCGGCTGGTGACGGCTGGGCTGGACTGGACCGTTGACAACTTTTGACTGTTACTGTAATCGATTTCTGGCAGAGCTTCCTGTACCTCAAGCTTTTGTGGAATCTTTGAGGGTTGGCGAACTGCGGTTTTCCTCAGTCTGCTTGGGGCCAAAAGGGATTTGTTTTTTGTGCGGAACTTCATTGGGCTATTCCACTGTATTTGTTGCATTTTGTTTAGGTTTTCCATATTTGTGAACTCAAAGCTTTCTACCTCTTGTTTTTTTTTTTGTTTTAACCAAATTTATAAAGTAGTAATCTCGTTTTTGTTAAGTGAACTGACTTCTTAAGGCTAGTCCTTTGGGAATTCGGATCTGACAAGCGAGTTTTACTTGCAATTCAAGTGGGCTGGTGTGTGGATTCGTGAGTTGTCTATGTGTACTGAGGGTTTTTGCCTTTGGGGTACGATTTTTGTTTGATTGGGATGTTGAGTTTTTTTGTGTTTTTGCCCTTGTCACTTTTCCTTCTTTGGTTCTGTTTCTTTTATTATATAAAAAATGTGTTTCTGGAGTAGGGTGTGTGATTTTTGTTTTATATTGGGCGGCAAATCTCTTTTTTCAAAAATATCTCCTCCTTTTTTTTCGTTTATGGAACGAAAGAAACTATGATTTTTCATCATTTTGGTCAGATAGGCTCTCAAATAGGCAATCCTCCTGGTTTTTTCTTGAAAAAAAACCTAATCTCTTTTCCAATTCACCTGCCTCTTGTTTGAATTTCAACTCATTGAATGTTATTTTGATTTTCTTTTTCCTGGACAGCTCCCTGCTTTTCCCTGCTTATCTATTCTCTTGAGATTGGATCTTGCTTTATCTCGTTTGGGAGAATTACTTCTCTGTATAATATAAGAAAAAATCTTTCTGAATATATTAATGTATAGATGGGATTTTTTGATCTTCAGTTTTTTTAGATTTTTTTCAGAACAGCTTGATGACATAAATTTTTTCAAATCACTTTCTTCTATGACAGTTGCCGCGTTGTTGACTTTTCCCTTGTCTCCCGACAGATTGTCAACGTGTGGATTGTTTCTCTTTCCCCTGTTTCTGGCCTCCCTCGTCGTTTTTTATTTCACAACTGGGACTGTTGTGAGCCCAGGTTTGGTTTTGTTTTGCTTTGAGTTCAGCTTTGGGCCGGTCTCTTTCTGGATTTTTGTTGTGCTTCTTCCGCTTGGGGGCTGGGTTGTGTTCATTTTTATGCCCACTACAATGGTCCCCCTTCAGTCTGAAGCGTTGTTTTTTGGATGGTTTTCAGACTTAAATTACATGCCATTTTAAATTTGTTGCGCCTGTTGGTAAATTTCCTCCTCGTATCCCACGTCTGCCATTTCTGCTACCCCTAGCTAAGTGCCGTATGAAACATGCTTTTAGTTTCTTTACTCTTTATTATTTAGCCATATCAGTGACGCTTTGTTCTTTCTCCCGTCGCTGTCTCCTCTTTCCCTTTCCTTTCCCATTCGTTTTCCCTCGTCTTGTTCCTCTCTTGGCTTTTCTTTAAAAGAATTTTCAAAACCAACTGTTCTGTTCACTTTGTTTCGAAACCTAATCCTTTTCAGACTTCTTTCCTCTTGAGCTTTTTCTTTCTTCGTACCTCCCTTTTTGCCTAGATACCTTTCTTGCCTTGGCCTTTCCTGTTACCTTCCCTTTTAGAAAAAGAATTCCGAGAAATGTCTTCTCCCTCAAATCCCTGTGCTTCCAATTTCTTCCTCTTGTTCCATGTTTCCCTCATCTTACTATACTTCTACTTTTGGGGCTTGGATTGATAATGCATCTTTTGCATAGAGTTAGGTCAGCAAGCTCCACCTTTGCCATAAAAATCCTAGACAACATGCCTCATTTTTTCTAAATACCTTTTGGTTGTTTGGGCCTCAGTGTTTGGTCCCTGTCCTCCTGATGTCATACCTGATTGAGAAGGTTGCTGAGGCCCCTCTATGTTTTTTCGAGAGTTCTTTTCTTTCTTGTTTTGGCTTTTCTCACTCTTTGGGTTAGGACAAGACTTAACGTTTCATTCTCCATTCTGAGTGCGTGTAGAAACAGTCCATTGTTCAAGAAGTGGCTGACTAGATTGGACCGGCTTCTTCCCCGATTGGGGGCTCACGAGTAACTGGCTGGAATTTTATGACTCCATTTACTTTCTGTTCCAAGCAAATATCAAAACAGAGTATGTAGAACCTGCTTGATGCTGCTCTGTTTTTTCGTGACTTTTTGCCATTAACACTTTCCGCTTTCGCATTAGGCCCCATTGATTATGGCCAGTATTGTTCGTTTTTAAGTAAAAAGCCTCCTGGTAAGACTTTGACGCTATTTTGGGGTTCTTTTCACATTGTAAGAAAAAAAAAAGCCAGCAGAAGCTAAGCCAATGATGCCTTCAACATGCTTCTCTCAGCCCTGATCACCCTAGATTGGCTCTCTTTCTCCAATTATCTCAGAAATCTCGTAGAGGACAGGACCATCAGCATATGCTTGTTTTCTTAATGTATTGGCTGCAGCAGGTTGTATTCTGCCCATCCGTTTTCCTCTGCATTCGGCTTGATTATAGACACCTTGCACACAAAAACATGCAAAAAACATGCACACATACAAATCACAACAAGGCACAGTATGTACAACAGTCTGGCCTACACAAGATCTATATGGCCTTCATTTTATTCATGAACCTGTCATACTTGCCTCATACCCTGGAGTAATCCTGCTAAATCTGTCTGCTCCTTGTGCTTTCTCTTGATGTTCAGATCTGGGCTGCAGGTCTATTTTTTTCCTGAATTGGGTTTCCAGACATAGTTCTGCTGAAGATCAAGTTCCGTCTCACCTTGTTGTTGCATAAAGTCCCCAAGAGGTCAATTGATGAGTACTTGATGATCTTCATGCATTGTACCAAAAGAGTCTGCGGCGCAGTGGCAAGTGTGATCAGAAACCTATCCTTTTTCAACCTGGACACAGTCCCTTATTTGTGAGAAGGAAGCCGGAAGAAGACTTGCCAGAATGCTTTCAGGAAGAATTCCTGAGTGGTGAACCTTGCCAAGATCTGCCTCACGGAGGAGGAAAGCCTTCTCCAAATTTCATTTGGGCGAAGTTTAACCTATCCTCCAACTTTTTGAGCAAGGCCGCTGCTGCCCTCAGCTCTACCCCCATGTCGTATCAGAAGCTTTGCAATCGGGGCTCTTCTTGGAGCGATGCAGATGAGTTGGAGGTCCACCATGCCTGGTTGTGCAGGAATACTATCAACAATATTGCTAGATGCCCCTTTATCCTTCATTGTTTGGAACTGAATTCCTGGCAGTTCTGTCTTTGCGGAGTGTTTGATGCTGGTGGAAGGCCAGATTTTCGTGACATTGCCCTGCTTCTAGTACCTGCACATTCCGGTTCTCTTTTAAAGTGTGGACACTCTGGTCCTGTCCACTTTTCAGACGAGGATACCATATATTCATTTGTGCAAGACCTATAAGACATTCAAGATGCAAGTATAAGCAGTAATGTTTTCTCACTTCTGTCTGTCGTTGCCCATTTGTTTTTTAGTGATGAATGCTAAATATCCTTATTATCTCTTTCGTATCGTGTACAATTCAGACTCACTTGCGGTTTGACAAACGAATAAAGTTTTCGTGCTAGTCCACCTCGTTCCCCTTCGTGGCGTGGGATGTGTTATTTGGATTTACAATCTTTTTATATGTTTGACAGCTTTGAGGTCAGCATCATACTCACTATCATATATCTTTGCGGGATTGATCCGTGACATTTTGTGATCGCCTGGTAATTCTGGGAGTACTACGGCTGGGGATCTGGAGCTGCCCTCCGGGATGGAGAGAGGAGAAGAGAAGAAGAAGAAGATCATGTAAACGATTCCTGTCGAGGCTACGTCTCCTGGCAGAAGAAAAAGAAAAAAACTGCCTATCCGTGACTCCATGTATACTTTGACATTTCTTTGTTTTATGTTCTTCATAATTCTATTTTTCTTGCCATAATTCTTTAAGGCTTCATTTTCTGGTTAGTTGTAGCTGGAAGTCCCTGTGCCTCTCCCTTACTAGTCAAAAAGACTTAGAGGAGATTGTATAGAGCATCTTTTGGCCCCGTAGGAACTAAGGCCGTTCCTACCTACCACTTCTTTGGCACTGTATGTATTTTGAGAGAGGCCTTCGAAAGTTGTGGTGCCGGAGAATGAGCTGGGTAAGAGCTAGTGAAGTGTAGGAGGGGGCCTTCCAAAGATGGCTCCAAGACAGTGGAATAATAGGTGAGTTTCTTAGTTAATTGGCAGTAGTGTGTTTATGGATGTCTGCCTTTTTATTTCTTTCTGTCTGACTTCGTGTGCATCTCCGTAGGAAGAAGTTACTGTCTCGGGCAGCATTATGTGATAGACTGCAGAGCATTGCACATTCGTTGGATCGCAAGCAGCGGAGAATAGTCTGGGACAGGGCAACTACTACTCTGCTAGGTGGCCCTTTTTGTCATGATTCCCCAAGACGAACACTACCTTCTACTCTAGCATGTCATTCGTGATCTCCAGCGGTGAGGACCAGGCGGAGCATCCCCGATCTCAATATAAATATAAGCTCCAAAGAAGCCTGTTGAGATACACGGCGGACGTGGTGGCTGCTAGATTGACAACACTTCGCTATAGATAGTGGCTGATCTTGTGCCTCCCGTTTCCTAGCTTATGGTGAGATTATTGTTCCCTTTTCGCTCGGTCTTATCCATTCCTTGTCTTATGTATTTTTGTCCCTGTTACTTTTGTCTCCCACTATCACACATTACAATATCTTATCACCATATACAACAAAAAATCCCAAAAACAACAATCAATAACTGCACACACCTATGGCATAAAATGTACATAGACACCACCCCCAACAGTTGCAACCTGTCTTCTGATTTGTTTGCTTTATTATGTGTTATTTGAATTTTTTGTCTCTTCTCTTTTCTATTTTTCTGCCTATGTTTCTGACTTGTCGTCCTTTCTCAGACTGTCCTATCGATTTTCCTTCAGGTTCATCTGCACGACCTCTTTGTACCTGACTCTCGGGCTGGCAGATTTCGAGCTATGGATCCTAATGCCTCAGCTGGACAATTGGAAAAGCGTCAGCTCCCCTGGTAGTCAATATGAAGTCCAAGGCATGTGGAAGAGGCACTGGAGAGATCTGTAGATCTTGTAGTCCTATCTGAACTTTTTGGAGCTGTGGAGAGGGCAGGGTAGGGTCCTTTGACCAGTCGAGTCTGGATCTGTATCTTGCGGCTTGTCATACAGGTAATCAGATCACATGGCCCCCAACCTATACTTTGGAATGAGCCTTTGGGCTGGTAAGGGATGTGCTCAACACCTTCACGACCGTTTATGAGGAGTTGAAGCCCACTTTTCAAAACCTCTGATGTTCTGCATAGGCCACTCATGAAGTCCAACTTTGGCTGTTTTTGCAAATGGCAAAGGCTACCTGGACAAGTGGGGGTATAAGAAGCCAAAGCCACCTGAATCAAACTGGACAGAACCTATTTGCAGAGCTGCAAAAGCAGTTGGCAGAGCGCCGGGAACAGTTGGCCCACAGGCTCGGGCTTTTGGATGGAGTCCAAGACGAAGGCCCTTTCCTTGTGCAGAACATGGTGTCCTCTTCTATGCCAGCCCCTGGAGTATTGCAGTAACTTTCATTCATCAGGGGGTGCTGCTCCAAAAATACTTTTCTATCAAGACTAGACCCCATCTGCAAAAGAGATCTCTCTCCAAAATATGATTTTGAATTTTTATTTTTATTTTTTATGACATTGTTTACTTGCCATGTGGGAGCAGGCTCCTTACACTTTATTTATTTTAAATAAAGTTTATTTTTGTTGTGGTGATTTTTTTTGTTTGTTTTTTTGTTTAGCTTTTCTCTTGTTTTTTTTTTTTTTTTTTCTTTGGTTTGTTTTTATATTTTTCTTTTGTTGTGTATTTTTTTTATTTTGTTTGTTGTGTTTTATTTGTTTTTTTTGTTTTGTTGTTTTTGTTTTTGTTGTTTGTGTCACTGTTGCTTTCTTTGTTTTCTTTGAAATGTTCGATTCTTTTGTTATTACAGAAGTTGAATGTAACTTCTTTCTTATGTGCCCAAGTCTTATAAATTAAATTACCAGTTAGGCTTCTAGATTCTTGAACCGTTTACAGAATTTTTGTTTAGTGCTCCATGCATCTTTGAATTTTAACCTTCTGTTTGGTTGCTGAGAAACTATGTCAGAGAGAAATTAAACTCTCAGTTTGATTACATGTTAAGGTTTGGATGATGTTGCAAGCATGAAGAAGGAAAACCAAAATTATCTTAATTATGTTTTGGGTTTGAAGATTTTAGAAAGCAAAGATCCTTTAAATTGTACTGGAGGTTTTGCAGAACTTCCTTTAGACCAAAATGCTCATATTGTTTTTCAATTTTTATTTTTTTCATCTTTTAAGATTAGCAAGATTTCTGGGGACGTAGGAGTACGCACCATGTAATGCTGAAAAAAAATAATAATAATAAAGTTCAGCAATTCTTTTCAAAAATGTTGTTTCTAAAGTTTTAAGTAATCAGTCCGGCTCTGTGCAGAACATCTTATCTCTCTTAAAGACAGAATGTGTTGAGAACACTTCACTTCTACTCAATTTTCTTCAATTTTGATCCCATTTATTGACATGGTTGATTGTTTTAGGGTGTAGAATCATCATTTAGAGCTTAGACTTAAGGTATCTAGAGTCATATTGGTTAATCGCTTCGATTTTAGGTTTGAAGTATCCAATTTTGGACTCTGCCCATAAGTTGACCCAAAATTTGATACTTAGACCTAAAATCGAAGCTCTAAAAGATCATTTTATACCCTAATTAATCAAACTTGTCAATAAATGGGATCAAAGTTGAAGAAAGTTGAGTAGAAGTTTAGTTATGCGTTTTGTCTTTCTTAAAGGCAGGACGTCCTGCACAGAGAATTTCTGATAATGAAATAGCCTTTCGTTCCCCCGTATGGAGGTATTAAACTTTAAGGTTTTCTGTTCTTATTCTTATTGTACAAGTTACTCTTCCGGTAAGGTAGGTCATGCTGGCAGAACATGGCAGTAAGCTTAAACCGTGGGAAATGTGTTTGGTCTTTTTTGTCATAAAAGAGGGAGGACGAAGCTTAGTTATTCTAATACAGTGAAAAGGTTGAAAGAAGAAAATATAACCCACCCTGTGATATGTTTCACCATGTCAACAAGGCAATCTCACCTCCCTCCTCGCTGCCCAAGTCAAAAGAAACCGAATTCTGGCCCAATTCAAGACCCCAACTCCCTGCTTCCGCACATCAATGAATCATACCCACGACACCAAAGGTCTTCCTCCCAATCCCTCATGGAGGAGCAGCCAGCATGGCTTGATAACTTGTCTAATGACTCAGAATCCAGTTATAAAGGGATTGTTCACCGTCGATCTGTGAGTGACTCAGTTACCCTTCTACACGGCCTTGCAGACTCATTTTCAAGTCTGAGTCCCAAAAATGATGAATTTTCAGTTGATAATGGATCTTATAGTGGATGGAATTCTGTTAGTTTGTATGGTCCCAATTCCCCTCGGCAAAGAGGCAGCTTATCAATTTCAGAGAATGCCTTAGTTTCAGCATTATCAGAGTATGCTTCTCATGAGCCTATACAAAACATGGATGGGATACTATGCATTCGTCACTCTGATTCAAAAGGTGATGATTGCCATTCAATTGGTGAGCTCAATGAAGAGATGAGGGCTGTAAAACGGTTAGTATCTGAACTTTCACTTGTCTATTTGTCAATTTAACTTTCTATTGATTCTTCATGTAACATAAGTGCTCTTTGCTATTCCTCAACTTAGCAGTTCATAGCCATGGTCTTCAGCATCACTTTTCAGGCATGTGGTTCCAAAATTCTGATGAATAGGTGCTTTACCTCATTGTGTTTGATTAATTTGTCGTCACAGATACACAATTTGCTTTAGTAAGAGTGTCACTTCTGCTGTATATTTATACAGTGGTGCTGGTCTTCACCTCCACTTGTATCATAACTTTGTTTTATCTTCTAAAAATAGCCGTTCGCTCTGGTTGATGTCCTGTTTGTTAAGTTTATTTGCTTAATCTGATAAACAAGTCTGATCCTGTGTTCTTCTAATTATAAAGTAGAAATTGAAGATAAGGATGGATAACTTCCTCAAAGTTAGGCCTGACATTGTAATTCCTGGGCCTTTGACCATTTGATGCTATTCCAAAATTTGTGTTTCTTTCATATCCATAATCTGATGATGTTATTTGGATTTTAGCACTTATATTTAGAAACAGAGGTTCCACTGACAAACTCTCAAGTACTTTATGTAAGTTGAAAAATACCTAAAAGATTTATCCAGCTTTGCAAAAGACGGTTAGCAAGGTAACTTGTAAACTATTTTGATGAACAATGTATACTGGGCTTATGGTAGGTGGATGGTTGTTTGTTCACATACACATGTATTTATGGTAGGTGGATGGTTGTTTGTTCACATACACATGTATGAGTCTGTAGGATTGCATACATTATTTCTCTTACAATATAAAATAATTGTTGGCCCACGTCCTAATAATTTAAGCTTTTGGGAACGATGGTCAATTAACAACATTTATGACGATATCAGAAAAAGAGTTCCTAATTTCAAATCGTTGCCATTGCAATTTCCAAAATAAGTTGAATTCCCCAAGTTAAGCATGTTTGATTTCTGCATATTTTACCCATGTCTATTGCGTGTCTCCATGAATTCAAGCTGGATAATCGTATGCTTGAGTAAGCCACTGATTGATTTTCTGCAGGCATCCTGGGCAGCGCTCAAGGATTCGAAAGATACAGTATATTGCTGAACTAGAAAGAACTGTTGATGTTTTGCAGGTAATTCTTATTTTAGAGGGAATATGATGGTTTTCTGGTTGAGTTTATCCTTGCTGCAGTAGCATGCAAAGGGTTGTATTCATTTCCATCTAGATGGTTTACCCATGACTCTAGATGTTCCCATGGCCAAGGGTTGAGTTTATCCGGCCGGGGTTTTGATCTTTTACCTTCTATTTTAATTAGTCTTCCCTTGGCCGTGGGAACATCTAGTGGTCTGTGATACATAGCATAAGTTAATTATGTACATAATTATAATGTAGGCACTAGAATAATATACATATACTTGACTAGCCTTGGTTTCAAGATTTAAGGATTGAGACAGCTAGCTTTGGGGCCCGTAGTCAGAATGGATATTGTGTCTACAAAGTCATTGCTTTTGTGCAATATGGCAACACTGTTGCCATATTGTGTTGATTCTGTTTCAGTTGTTCTCAATTACGTGCTGGCTAGGTTTGTAATACCTTATTCTACTTAAGTGAAAACTTTCAACATGGCAGCTGATTGAAATCTTGTCTCATCAAACAGACTTTGGAGTCAGAGTTAGCTGTTAGAGTTGCCTCTCTGCTTCAGCAGCATGTTGCCTTGTCTATGGAAAATAACAAATTAAAGCAGCAGCTGGCAAGACTGCGACAGGGAAAATTTATCATGGACAGTGAGTTTCATCGATCTTTCTGCGGCAAGACCTTCATTACTTAACTTTCTTTTTTCTCCCATAAACTATTCAAGTAACTACCCATTGGCTACAGAAATTTTCTGGTATATGCTTCGCACATTTGTCATCAAGAAATTTGAATTGTAAGCATTGCATAAGTGTTTAGGAGGAACATTCTATTAGGAAGAGTCTCAGACTTAAACTTGCTTTGCATTTAGAATGTTCTGTTGATGACCAAAGAGTGTAAGAAATTGCTGAGTGATAATAATAATAAATTCTAATACTCATATCAGTCATTGAGAACTTGATTTATCTATATATTACTGAAGCAAATAACAACTTTGGATTTCCACATAAAATTCATGGAATACATCAAGATTGAAGCATATTATTGTCTTTTTCTTAAATGGTTATGCCTGTTGATTTTGCTGCAGGTCAGTATCAGTCTCTGAAGAAGGAAATCAAGAGATTGAAGATTGGTTTAACAAATCCCCAAAACAAGAAGGTTGAAGCATACTTTGGTTCAAGTTCTACCACTGAGGCAGCTAGAGTTGAGGCTATGCAGAATCTAGATATGGGAAAACTTACTCTTTCTTGAAACCAAAGATGCCGTTGCTCTTTCTTGGAACCGGAAAAAAAAAAAACAGTACTTTTATGGTTTTCAGTGTTGTGCCATGAAAGAGGTGGCTCTTTTCTTCAAATGCACTTTACTACGAAGTTCCAGCAAGACCATCACCGTGTTGCTGGTTGGCAGAGTCACCATTCTGATTGCTCCCACGTAAATTTGCGGTTGGACTTGGTCCTCTTTGAACTAATACTTAATATATGAAGGGAACAGACATCATCATTTACCTTATTTTTTGTGTCCGTACAAATGCTGTGGCGGATGCTTTTGAACACTCAAGGAAATTCTCTCATTAAGGGACACTTTGCCTTTAGATTGATAGTATGCTGGCAAATTGCCTTCATGTGAAAGGTCGGGGTATCGAAAGCTGAGCTCCTTTGAATTGTTTGATACATTGCTATCTTGGTGACAAACTGAAAATGAATGACAAGCCCTTGTTCTGTTTCTCTAGCACATGATAATTAACTACAAATGAAAGACCATTACCATACTTGGAGGATTGAAAAGTATATAGCGTAGTTGAGGGATCCTTATTTTGGGATTTGAGACGCCGGTCGACCGGCATAACTTATCCACACAACTGGCTTCTCACATCCTACATCTTGGATCCCGTTTAAGAGGTAACAAAAGCTCCTAGCACTTCTTTTTTTGGGTTAATAGTTTTATTAGTCCCTTAATTTTGACCGGATTTGCATTTGAGTACCTCAATTTCCAAAATGGTACCCGTGGTCCTTTAACTTTAGTTTCGTTTGGACAACTAGTCTCACCGTTACTTCTGCCAATTTTTTCGTTAAATTTAGGGGTAGATAGGTCTTTTCAGGTTGGTTTTATTATTCCCCTTCTGCAAAGTGCCTTCCCTCTGAAATAGACATTGGAGAGCCTGCTGCCAAAAACCTAAAGAACCAAAAATTATAATCGGCTTCTGCAACTCGCATATTGGTTGAGTAAAAGTTGGAATCGTCAAGTTTGGAAGCTTGGAGAGCAGATTACTCGCCGGCGTCGACGCCTTTCCTAGCCCAGCCGCCAACGCCGTCTGCCACTCCGATGGTCTGGGCATCATGGCAGATGAAGTCAGCGTCTTCGCCCGGGGGTTTTTCCTGGTTCTCTTTGAAACTGAAAGTTAGAAGACTGTAAGCACCATAACCACCATGGCTGTAGGCTGTAGGCTCTAGTGGTGGTTCCAGTGTCCCTTTTAATTGATAACTTTTATTTTGTATTTTGTATTTTGTATTTTGTATTTTGTATTTTTTTAGGTTAGTAGGAGAAGCCAACACACGTGCCACGAAAATTTCTTATAATGAATTATGGATTTAGAGACACTTTCATTCAAACCAGTAATGGTAATATGTGGAAAGGTAATATGGGGTCTGTGTTTGCTTCTTTAAAGGTAATATCAGGTGACTAAAACCGTTGAACAAATGCTTAAAAACATTTCCCCCATAATGGTAATTCCCCATAAGAAACACATACACGCACATACTCCTCTCTCTGTCTTTCTATTTTGCTGCATTTGCTTTGAAATGCTGAGGCTTGAACTGGTTTTGTGAAGTTGTTGCAGTGTTGGATCTGGTTCTTTTTAACCATGCCTCAAATGGGTTTGTGAGTTTTCTCAAATTTGGTCTTTGAGTTTGAAGGTTTCCTGCTAAATTTTCAGTTTTTAGTGTTGGTTCTGTTTTTATGTGCTTAGACCTTCAATGTTGAGATCTGATTTCTGCAGATTTATAGTTCACAATGAGGTTCAAGATTCTGTGAGTTGGATTTGGTAACCTACTGTTGTACTTCATAACAGTTCAGTTGAGACCAAGAGGTTAAAGCAAAAATGGCTCCAAGCTTGGATTTTTCCAGGTGATGGGCGAAGGGTAATCCAGTGGTGGTGACCATGGAGATCTCCAATGACTCTGTGCCGGAGATAAAAGTCTTTTTTATCCCTCAAAACCAACCTGAAAAGACCCATCTACCCCTAAATTTAACGAAAAAATTAACAGAAGTAACGATAGGATTAGTTGTCCAAACAAAACTAAAGTTAAAGGACCACGGGTACCATTTTGGAAATTGAGGTACTCAAATGCAAATCCGGTCAAAATTGAGGGACTAATAAAACTATTAACCCTCTTTTTTTTTAAGCAAAAAGAAAATCAGTAAATGGAATTTTGAATAATATAAAAGGTGAAATACATAGTATGAGGATACGTCATTATGTTATAAGAACAGTAAACAAAACGACAAAACCATCAGTCATATAATGTAATACCAGTTTTTTTTTTTTTTTTTTTTTTTTTTTTTTTTTTTTGGGTCGGAATCCTTGATATAAAGGCATTGCCAATTACAAGATAGTTGGAACTCATAAAAATGAGTACAAAACAAATGCGACAGTAAAAGCCCACTAGAAATAAAACTCAAACAGACATAAAAATCTACAACTGGCACAAAGCCAGAGCCCAAAACTGACATAAAGCTAGATTGGTTTAGCCATGAGGAGGAAGCAAAGTTGCAAACTTCATCTCTAAAATGCTAGTCTCCTAAAGCACCAATCTTTAAAGAAAATGGAAAAGTCAAAATCATCAAAGCCTTTAACCACCTAGATCTTATTCCCATTAAAATCCCAATTGTAAAGAAAGGAATTAGATATCATAACTTTATGGTTACCTTAGAAACTCCAATCAAATTCTTGAAGATGAAACTGGAACCAAATAGATTGTAGGAATTCGAATATATCGACATGAAATGGGACTATATCTGGTTCAATGACAACAAAAAATCAGAATAAACATCAATATGTACACTTTCCATTGCAATGATTTAGTTGCACAGGACATATGATCAACTAGCAAATTGACAAGCCCCTGAAAACTGCAAGAAACACACTTCAACCCGCATAAGACAGAGAAGCAAGTCCTGAAAGCAAATATTAAGGCTGGGGAAAGGAAGAACAACACTCTTGTTTGCGAAGAACCAAGTGGCCAATCTTTGCTAACCTACCACGGCACACCTTGGCTCTCAACAGACATGCAAGACATTGATATAGTGAAATGACTGGAGAAGACTATTGATAATGAATAATCTTCTTTGTCTGTCAAGGTTTTAGCCCAAGATGTTTCCTTGTCTTTCCCACATATAAGTCTCCAGATTTGATCATGCCAGGGATGCAACCGCTAATTGTCAATAATGGGAATTGCGCAACTCCCTCGTTCCTCCCGAGTGACACAAGTGCAATGTCTAAACCAGGCTTGTAAGTAGCCATCTTGCTTTCATTTCCTCCCATCAGCAACAGCTTAAGGTTCTTGGCAGTCACTTCAGCATGTCTTTGTGCTAAATAGCCTTGCTTGATCTCCTGTTAAGATATTGTGCTTATCAGTTTAAGTAAGATTTTGTCCAAAACATAAAAAGTCATAGATATTGATAGGTGAGCATACCTTAATATTGGTTATATCTCCTACTGCGAAGATATTTTTATGACCCCTAACCCTCAAGTTTTCATCAACCATTAGTCTTCCTTGCATATCCAAATTATTCTGCACAATAGTCCCCCTAAGCCATGATGAACCTGTTGGTTTACCCGTGCACACAAAGTGACAATCAGCTGTGATAATTTCTCCAGAAGGTGTTTGAATAATAGGATCAGATATTGTGTTCAAATTAATGGTTTCATCCAAAATAACTTCAACTTTTTTTGATATCAACCAATCAAGTGCCTTTTGGGACGCCTTCAAACCAATGAATTCTAGCAGCCTTGACCCCCTGTGCACCAGTATCACCTTCTTTTCTGGAAAATCCGTAGCAATTTCACCAGCAAGTTCAACACCCGTGGGGCCCCCTCCAACAATCAAAACTGATTTAGCAGAATTTATCTTAACAAATTCTGTACACAGACAAAGAATAAAGTCAGATTTGATGTCGAATGCTCCTCTATGATGCACAGTACATTACAATTAAGGCATAGAAGTAAGTGTAGAAGTCTTGTAGGCTTCTCAATGGTGCACAATACATTAAAATTATAATTCAGTTTTAATTTTTCCATTTCCCTTCAGACTTTTTGTTGGGGGTAGAGCAGTTAAAAATCCATTACATGCAATTTCAGAGAAAAAGGGTATGAGATTTCTTACATGAGTTAGGTGGCTTTATAAATGAAGTTTGATTTCAAATAAATCTTCACTTTAATTAAGTACCAAATTTAATCACGCAAACGTACAAGAGCACAACTGCAATTCCACTTATGCAACTTTAGGTATTACCTGCCTCATAATGACTGAGCCTCTCAGCTCTGGTTTTGGGAAGAGCTTCCTTATGACCAGTGGCAATAACAAGATATTCATATACAAGCAAATGGCCATCTGTAGTCAACACTTCACGCTCTGTGATGTTAGCTGCAGTAGATGCAACAATCCTCACATTGGGAAGATAATCGGAGTGATTAATCACTGATCTTTCAGCAAATGATGGCTCCACCATTGCCCTCAAGCTTCCCCATGGGATCTCAAAATACTCCTTCCTGTTGTCATAGATTTTAACACACAAGGTCACGATAAAGAAAATCACTAAAGAAAAGACAAAATAACTTGATCTGTAAGTGATATTTGGGACAAAATTAAATTAAAAAATTCAACTTATGCTTTGGATAGACTTATAGCTGCAACTAAATTATACATACTGGGGACGAGATGGACAAGAAACAAGGGATGACAGAAAAGAAACCATGATTCTTTTTTATAAATGAGAAATTTATTGAAAAAATCCCGAGAGAGCATCACCCACGTAAGTGGTACATAAAAGATCATCAAAGAAAACACAATATTTTAATGATAAAGAAAAACGGGAGAAACAACGAAACTCAAATTAAGGGAACCACAACGTGCTTGTTGCATAACTTCGTGATGTAGGTAGGGAAATGGTAGATGGCTTTAACATTCCAATTTAATAAGATATTAGAAGAAGTATTTAGCATGGTCCTTGGTCCTGGTTCTAACAAGACTAAGTTATCTTTGAAACGCAATAACACAAAACGTAGAGGACAAATCAATGAGATGCCTCTTCCAAATTTTATGCACTTGATCATGGATCTGCCACCAGCTCACTATCAATTATAAAAGAGCTTTCTTTTTCAACACATCCATCCAAGTTCCTTCATCAATACATCGTCTTTAAGAAATCGCTACTTGCTAAGATTTGTAGGAGTCATACAGTAAAAACGACTTAGCATTCATGCATGATTTAAATTATCCTAAAATACCATAAGAAATTAACCAAAATAAAACCATAACACTGTATGTTGTTACTGAGTCAGACAAAGATACATAGAGGTAATCTGAAACCAAGCTGCTTCCTCATATAGCTTTTTTTATGTCGTAGAGATGCAATTCTTTTCTTTCTTTCTGGTTAAATGTGTTCGCTCAAACAAGATACTACAACACCAACCCCTGCTAGAATTAAAGTTCTCTTTCTGTTATATTGTTATGATTTCTCTAAATTAATATAAATAATTTGAACTCCTCTCATTTCTCTAGAGCTTCCCATTTTAACACATAAATTTTTCCTCAAATTTCCATTTACCACCAACCCAGTAGCCATGTAGTTCCAAAATACAAAGAAAAATAATCTTAAATGCACTAGCAAATTCAAGAACCATATTCTTTCGTATAGTTGCTAAATGTATGTGTATAATATATAAACACAGACACACATTGCCGCATAGAAAATTGAAAACAACAAAACATGAACAAATTTCAAACCCAAACCCCACTTTTTGTGAAAATGTTCAACAAGAAAGGCTATAAAATTAAAGGAAGAAAGGTAAAAACAAGGATTACTCATCAATGAGAACAACATCAGCGCAGAACTGGAGAGACTTGGCAACAACAGAGCCAGCAACACCACCTCCAATCACCACCACCCTCTTCTTTTCCCCAGCTGACTCTGCCGTGGCAGCCGTTGAAATCAGCAAGCACATTGCACAAGGAAAATGCAAAGCAACCCAAAAACCCTGTTGGTGAAATTGAAATTGGATTGGGATCAAAACAAAGAAATGTAAGTCCTATTCCTTGATGGGTTTTCTAAAACCGATAGGAGGTTTTAGTTATGGCGTTTCTCTGTAAATTTTTGCCGGTTGTTTGTGTATGAATTGGATGCTATTCTCAGAGAGAGAGAGAAAGAAAATGAAACAAAATTTGACAGTTCAGGTGAAGGTGAAATTGACTATGAACTGGCAAGTTCATGTCATTGGTGAATTTTGCGGCTTTCGGGGTACTTTGTTAAGCCAGTTACCAACTCAGTGTCTCTCTCGAATGGCCATTTGTTTTTGTTTTTATCCAAAACACAGAGGCGAGTTTGGGCCAACTCAGAGAATAAAAACTTTTCTGGCACGCGTTCCCAAAGTTGGCCAGGCGACCCTTAGGCAATTACTTCTTGACGAGTTTTTACTTTCATGAATGTCAAATGTCCTCAAAACTAATATTGATTCTATGATTTAGCACGTGTATTATCCTATAATGGGATAATGCACAACCCACTTATGAGTTGTGTTTTAATCTAATCTTGTCAAAATTTTATTTGCTCCCACGTCGTTAACCCTTAATCATATTTTATAGGTGTCCAAGAAATTGAATTTTTTATATATATAAAAGTCCTTAGACCCACTGAGGTAATTTTACAAATGATAATCCGGATTTTATTTGAAAGGAAATTCCAATGAGTGTCTCCAAAGATCTTATCACTTCACCTTTTCTCTCTCTGGAAACTTGTCATCCTTATTTGCTTTATGCATCCAATGTAGACTTTGTAAACGAGTCTTGTTTGTCGTGTTCGTATAAACTTCCTATATGTTAAATTAATAGGTGAAACATACCAAATATGAACACGACACGTTAAAATAACAAATCACACAACACAAACTCATTTCACCCAATAAGAATTAAAAAAAAAAGTTTTAAAAAAAATGGGGGAGAGGGAGAAGGAAGAGTAGAAAGATGAAGAAAAACGAAAAATTGACCGAGTTGACGCATCGCTAGTAGATGCTGAGTTTGCATTCCACTTAATAAGCATCCTCCAATACATTACACGTAAGAAAAAATGCATTCTAAAAAAAGAAATGGAAACGGTTTTTTATCCACATGCCACAGATTTGAGCCAATTCCAATAAAAATAAAAATAAAATTGAAAATTCTTTGAACAATTTTTTTTGGTTGAGTTTTTCTATTTAAACCATATACTTATCTTTGTTCACCCCAACTTCTAATTCAAATTTTCACAATTTCTAAGAAAACTCCATTATCTTCCCAAACTAACCTTAAATACATACCCAGCAAAAAAAATAAAATTCATCAACCTCACACCCCACACCCCCTATCTTGCCGCTCACCTCTAAGTTCACCTCAACCTCACATTACTTAAAGAGATAAAATATTCTAATAGAAAGCTAAACCCGAATATTCTAATGGAAGTTTTATTTGACATGGCCCCGCTTCTCTCCTAATGTATAACATCATGTGTTTGATATTTTATTGTAAAAAAAGAATTTTATCAATGACATTGCAAAACATTGTAACATTAGATTCAACAAATTGTTTTGATAGGAAACATGAGATCTGAATCATGATTCCAAAATCATCAAATTCAACACTTTTAAGAGAAAACCCTACTCAAGCCAAAAACTGCATGTATCCTCTGGAAAATAAGATCCCGCCATCCTTTCTCTGTATTCTCCACCACATTCGCATTCCCATATTTGCATTACCAAAGGCACCAAAACAAAGCAATCAGCTTTGCATAGAAGAAAATAATAAAACTCACATACTCCCAATCAATCAAACTAAATTTGAAAAGAACCCATTAATTAAAAGCTCAAATCAAAATCAACTTGTCTTCCTCAGGAATATGAAGAGTTGTGGGGTGAGTGAGATGTGTGTATAAATGTATTAGGGTTAAGTATTAAGTTTGATGACTTTTTTTGTCTTTTTACACAATAATAAAACTTAGGCTTAAATGCTAAAATGGTCCCTGTGTTTTACTACGTTGGCTAATTTATCCTTGTGTTTATGATTGTAAATGTGATCCATTTCGTTAAATTTCAGTTAGAAATTTAAAAAAATTATTTAAATATTCATAAATAAAAATATAAGAACTAAACAAAAATATTAAAAAACGTTTAAAAAAAGTTGTTTATGCTCTAGTTTGAAAATAATTAGCTGTAAAGTAAAGCAACATCATGTTTGATAAACACTATTTTTAAAGTGTTGTTAATACAAAAAGCAATATAAAAAACGTTTGATAAATTTTAATATAAAACTATTGTAAATGTGAATAATGATTAAAATAAACATGATGTTGAAAATGTTTTGCACTAAGAGCATGTACAGTGCTAGGCTGTTGCCATGACAACAAGCCCCCCAAGCCCCAATTCCTCCTTCAATGCAAAAATGCCAGCCTGGGCAAGCCATGGACCCCACCAGCCTTGGCAAGCCCATAGGCAAAAATGGACTGGGCTGTTGTCCTCAGGCTGCTAACGTCAACACCTAAAAAAATAAAAAAAATTATTTATTTAAAAAAAAAAAAAAAAAAAAAAAAAAAAAAATAAAGAAATTTTTTCTATAAATACCTACCAATATTATTCACTTTCCACACCAAATCTTCATACAAATTCATCTCCTTCAAATATTTTTCACTTTTCATACCAATTTTCTACTACAAAATCCCATTTGAAAATTTTAATTTAATAAATATGGACACGTGGCAATCGAAAATCTTATCCGAAAATTTAATTTGAAAATTTTATCTGAAAATGTTATCTGAAATTTTAGGTGAGAATTTTATAATAAATAGTGGCACGTGGCAACCGAAAATATTATCTGAAAAGCTATCAAAATGAATGGATAAGTATTATAAAAAAATAGAAAATAAAATAAAGTGAATAGTATTTGCCCTTGCCCTTGCACTTTGGGGTGGAACCAAAAAAGGCAAGACTGACACTATTCATGTGAATAGTGTCAAACATTGCCTTACCCTTGCCTTTTGGGGTGGAGGTGCTCTAATCATGTGGTGATAATGGTAGTGGTAGTGGTAGTGGTAGTGGTGAAAGAGATAAAGGTGAAGGTGGTGGTGGTAGGGATGGTTGAGGAGGAGTTGGTGGAGGTTGAGAAGGAGGCGGTGGCGGTGATGTTGGAGGTGGTGGTGGTGTGTGGTGGTGGTGTTCACCTGTTTGATGTTTGTTCCTGTGATGGTAGGGTAAAGTTCCCCATTGTCTTGAAAACCATTGACTGGTTAACAAGTCAACTTTCTTTAGTATGTGAGCGTGCCACTGCTCGCAATGAAAAATCCTAGCAGACTCTGGAATAGATAACTTGCGCCCCAAGTTATTGATTTCTAAACAAGCGAATGTGAATTTGGGTGAGGAATATCTCCCAAGTAAGTTCTTTTCTTGCCTCAGACTTGTGAGGACTTTATAATGTTTCACAGTACAAGGTTAGTAGTTCTGGCCATAATAAATAGTAAGAAAATGAACTGTTTTCAGGTGGAACTGCCTTTTACAAAACTCAAGAGGGAAAAACCAACTCTAGAAAGACAAAAAGAAGGTTGAACTTCCATTTCTGCCTGGATAGATGCTTCTGATCCTGGTTGGACTGGGTATGCCTGTGCTGGACTAGACTGTCAACAACTTCAACTGCTAAGCTTTAGCTGTAAATTGATACCAACGTTCGAGTTTGGTAGAGCTTTAATCTATTTCAAGCCCTGGAAGGCTTTTTAAACAGGCAGAATTGCGGCCTCTTCAGTCTGAAAGGGGCAGAAGTGGCTGGACTTGAGGATTACTGAGCTGGAACTGCACTATGGTACCTATTCTGCTTGGTCAGGGCTCTCCATAAATTTGTTAAGGTTTTCATATTTGTAAAAACCCAGACTCTGCTATTTTGGCTTTTGCTGAACCAAATTTGTAACGAGAGAAATCTCGTTTTGAATGACTTTTCTCTAAGTCTTGAAACTGGAAGTTTCTGATTCGTAGCTGGCTTCTTTCTTGTGGCTCAATGAGCTTTAGGTTACTTCTTTCTTGTGGCTCAGTGATCATCTTGAGTCTTTGTCTTTGATTGATTTTTGGTTTTTTGATTGTCCTCTGCTCTGCTCACCCTCTCTTATATTTATAAGAAATGTTTTTGGAGTGGGGTTTCTAATTCTTTAATAATGGGTGGCAAAAATTCTCAAAAGATCTTTCTTTTTATATGCAAAGAAAAAGGGGGTTTTATCAATTCTGTTAGATAAGCTCTCAATAGTCAGTTCCTAAGAGCATCTCCAAGGGATATGTCAAATACCAAACATCAAATTTAAATTTGATGGCTGATGTGGCAATTTGACATTTACACAATTTTACACTCCACCCGATATGTCAAATAAATAATTATTGTAACAGTCAAATTATTTAAGATAAAGAAGAAAAAAATTAAAAAAAGAAAATAATAAATGAAAGTAACAACCAACTGTCTTTAAAAACTAATAAAATATTCATTTGACATCTTGCTTTTGGGATGTCAAAAATAACATCTCAACCTCCAGCCTTCATTCCACATCAGCTTTAACACATCGATTGAAGTGATGTGAAATGTTATTTTTAGCGGTTAAATGTCCATGTGGCACTTTTGACACATCGGTTGAAGATGCTCTAAGGCAATCACTTCCCTATTTTTCTTGAAAGAAAACCTAACCCTTCTTTAATTCCAACTGCTCTTGTAAGAGTTCAAAAAACTGCCGTGATGGTTAGTTTTGATCTTCCAGATAAACAACTCTCTGCTTCCTACTTATTTTTTTAGAAAACAAAGCCTATTTATCCCTTGGAAGTGGTACCTGCTCTGGAGCAGAATTTTTCTTAATATAGAAAGGGATTTTGATCCTTTTTTTTTTAAAAAAAAAGCTGGAGATTTGCCTGTCTCAAGTCCTGTTTCCATTAACTCCCATAGACTCAGTTGAGATTGATGACTTTTCAAAGTTTCAGGTGGCCACGTGGGTTTGCTTCTAATTTTGGGCTTTTCTTTTCTTTTAATCATGCCAAGCCCAGGTCGAGTTTTTTGGAGTTTATGGGCCAATTTCCTTCTTTTTCTTCTTTTGTTGAAGCCCACGTTTTGTTGTGTTTTGATAGATCCTGGGCTAGGCTTTCTTGGATTTTGTGCCCTTGATTTGTGTTTAATCACGAAGGTCAGGCTGCTCGGGTCCTGTGGCTTGTTTTATCATTCTAGGCTCTTCAGTGTTGGATTGGGTGCGCAGGATTTTGACCCAAACAGGTGGTGGTGGTGGAGGTTGTGGAGTTGGATGTGGAGGAGGAGGTGGTAGAGTTGGATGTGGAGGTGGAGGTGGTGTCATTTTAAAAAATCAATGATGGTATTTTGGGAATTTAAAAAATTCATGGCTTGTTTGGGAGTGCTTCTTCCCGAAGCGCTTATGCCAATAGCACTTATGACATAAGCGCTTCTACAAAGAAGCAATTTGTTGTTTGAATGTCACATTTAAAAGTGCTTTTACACTACATAAAAACGTTTTTGATATTTTGTTGAGTGTTTGGCTGACACAGTAAAAGTGCTTTGATTTTATCCGGAACTCTCCTTCATTGTGAGTCTTGTGGACTTATGATATTACTAGCCATATGACAAACGACATCTAAAATTATCCCAAACCACCTTGACACCGTCTTGCCAGAATGTTGAAATTGGACCATTCTATTAGTGAAAGCATTGAAAAATGCAATGCATTGCCGTAGTGCCACCTAGAACACAGCTTCTTTCTAAAGTCGATACAAATTGAGAGGGAGTGCTTGGTGCCACTTTTTGGGGGTTTTGCACGCAATGCTCATTCAAAACATTGCAGCCAACAAATCAAAAGGGTTGGCTTTCCGTGTTTTTGTCCTGTAGCGCTTTTAAAAAGAAGCACCTCTCAAGTGCTTCTTCCAAAATCACTCCAAGTGCTTTTGGATCTCACCCAAAGCGCTTTTGCAATTTTTGCCAAACACAATTTTTAAAAGATAGAAGTGCTTTCACCCATTTAGAAGCGCTTTTCGCTGCCCCAAAAGCACTCTCAAACGAGCCCCATCTTTGCTTCTTTTAAAATCAGTTTTGAAAAGCAACCTGGAGTTTGCCTTTAAAATAATTACCAAATATCTTAAACTCCTTAATTTTAAATTGAAACAAGTTTTTGGCGGAAAAAAAATAAAAAAAAATCCCAAACGATGTCTAAAAACAAAGGAACTAAACTAGCCAATGTAGTAAAACATAGGGAACATTGGGGTCAACATAGAAAACTATTTTTTTTCAAAGAATCGTCAACAGTTTTTTTTTCCTCTGGTCTGAAATCTTCAACTGTTTAAAAGAAAGAAAGTCTGAAAATGAGCTCTGAGCTTTTTCTGGCACATCATCATGTCGAACAAAATAGAGGGCTTCAACTTCGATCAGAGGCATGGCAAGCAGAGGGTGAGGGTGGCTAGGGTTTGGCGGAGCGAAAATGGACGCCATTCCATCGTCGAATGGAACGTCGGCATCAGCCTCTTCACCGATTCGGTGGTTGCCTATACCCGCGACGACAACTCCGATCTCGTCGCTACCGATACCATGAAGAACACTGTAAGGGCTTCTCAGATCTGATTCACTGTTCGATTGGATTTCGATTTGCTCTGTTTGGTTGCTGAGAAAATTGAATCCCGATGAAGAAAATGAAGAATTTACATGCTTTACTTTTGCCAACCGGTTTATAGATCAACTAGTTTTCAAACCTGGAGTTACATGCATGAATTTTTTTTCCCCATAACAATTTAATTTGTAATTGATAGCATCTGAGCATGTTTTTCAGCTGGAAATGAAAAAACTGGTTGTATCTGGGAATGAAGATATTAAGCTATGTATTGGTAAACAAAAAATATGCATATATCTTTATATTTTAATTTTTTAACATACGGCCATTTCAAGCATAAACCCATAATCTAAAGGTCAACACAGTAACCAAAAGGAGCGATTAAATAACTTAGCAGCTAACACGGCTGCTTATAAAAAACATATAAAAAATGTTGTTAGGTTTCCCATTGCTTGAACCTGCTGTCTTTCCAGCATTTAGATTGCTATTCATTTTCAGGATTTAACTTAGTTGCATTACAGGTATATGCAAAGGCTAAGGAATGTGTAGAAGAACTGTCAGTGGAAGACTTTGCAATTCGACTTGCTAAACACTTCACATCTCTTTACCAGCAGGTAAATACTATTAAAGTTTATTTTTCGACATTCTCTCAGTTAATCCCATACCGTAAAGAACAAGAAAATTTGGTTGATATCACCATCACTGCTGAAATGCTGGTCATTTGTTGTTGTTGTTGTTTTTGTTGCTCCGGTCTTATACTCATAGAAGAGAATTTTGCAACACATGATAGCATTGGTGTAGAAATTGGTTCCTTTTTAAATTTGATTGGTTGTCTTAAATTTTGGACTTTTTACTTCCTTTTTCTTTTGTAATATTTGATGTTGTAATTAGTTGGTGAAGGACATCTGTTCTTATTTTTGTAGGTCACTGCTGCTATAGTAAAGATTGTGGAGAAGCCATGGGAGCGTGTATCCATCGATGGTCAACCACATGAACATGGTTAGTCTATTTCCAGTCTTTCATAGAAGTGTGGAGGAAACTATACGGCTATATATGATATCTACTGAATTCGTTTTGTCATGACTTTGTAACCAGAATACTTGGGAATTCATAATCAAAGGAACCTCTCATTTCTCAACACTTAACAAAAAAAAATTTCTATTATGTAAAGGTAGCAAATGAACAGCACTTCTCATCAATTTCTTAATCAGAATGGGATACCTTGTCTTCAGAAAACGGGTTAAAATCAGACAGTTATAAGGAAAATTCCTAACTTCTTGCACAACCGAGGACTAAGGCGTCAAAATAAGATGCACTTGTTTGTACACTTGGATTTCACTTCCTTAGCATTCTTTTGTACAATCTTATTACTTATAGAAAGAACTGATAAATTAAGTTGAATGGTTGATACCACATTTTGGAATTCCATGATGTGTGAGACATTTACTTTTTAATTCATCATTTCACCTGTAATTTGCATTTAGCAATTTTCACCTAACTGCTCCATGTTTTTCCTAATTATTTTATTTTATAGTAATATTGTTTCATTATTTAGCTAAAAATTACCTTAAGCTGTAAATTAAACAGTGATAAGTCGAAGTTATTCAATAATAATTTGTTGTCAAGTTGTTTTAAGAGAAGGGGTCAAGAGATGACATGTTGGATGTCATGTCTGTGGCTTGTTGCCTCAGTCTTAAATCTGGTTCTGTAGCTATCTTGCTAATTCTAAACTTGAATAGAATCCCTTATATTTCCTATATATTCTGCAGATATTCCAAGCATATTGATTTGCAATCCAGAAAACATCCTTTCTTTCCTCGTTTTATCTGTTTTAAATTTTCATCGTCTTCTTTGTTAAAAGGTTTCAAATTAGGATCCGAGAAGCATACAACAGAGGTAATTTTAAAGAAATCTGGTGCATTGAAGGTGACTTCTGGTATTGAAGGAATGGCTCTGCTAAAGACAACAAAGGTAATCTTATCCAATTCACTATTAATATCAAGGTTTTCAAAATTGAACACGTAATGCGACAATGGATATCATAATCTGTTACATACTACATTTTTTTTTCTAATGCAGTCTTGACAAGAAATCAGCGATTGTAATCATTAGTTTGTTATTGAGAAGAACCCAAAATTTTATTTAGAAAAATGTCAAATATACAGTCATGGACAAGGAATCCACTCTCAAATTACTGCAGCAAGAACAAAACTCTCTAATATGCCTCAACTTTGCATTCAGGTTAATAGATTAGACATCCAAACTTGAGACCATAACACATCAGTTGACTGCAGCTTAGTCTAGCGACAATGCTGACATGGAACACTCCCTGAACTGTACAGTGATCAAACCCGAAAGGGCAGAGCAAAAATTAACTCGATCCAAAACTTCATCCACATACACACATGAATAATCTTAAAATGTCATTCAAATTATTATTATTATTATTTTGCGCTAAAATGTCATTCTATTTTGCTCCATCTGTATGACCCAAAAAAACTGCCATGACCCTGTTACCCAATGAGTTTTAGCTATCCTACTGTAAACATATGTTGTGACATCTTTTTGGAATTACCCAAATTGCATGAGCTTCCATAAACAATTTCCACCAGATCTGTAACGCAAACGAACAATGGAGAAAAACATGATCTATACTTCCTTCCCCAGCCTTACAAAGAATACGCCATTAAGGGAAAAGATAATATACAGCCCTCGCAGAATCTGATAACAAAGCATTAAGTTTCCCATTAGCCACCAATAATGCAAGAACTTGAATCTTAGGAGGAACCTTTGCCTTCCAAATCGGATTAAAAGGGTGAAAACATGATATCAGATATTATTAACACACGCTATTGTATTAGATTCTGTAAGACTTGCATGAAAGTGTCCCCTAAATTTCTAACTGCCAGCCCCTTAAATTCCCCCTTGAAGGAAATAGACACATACCTTATTATGCCCATGATATCATTAACACATGCTATTGTATTACTACGCTCAAAGGAGAGAGAGTATTGCATTGCAGACACTCATCAGCCACTTATGAGTTGTATTATTACTCTCATGATATCATCAACACGTAGTTGTATTATTACGCTCAAAGGAGAGAGGAAAAGTATTGCATTGCAGACATTGCAAGCCAATATAGTTCGGGAACTCTTAAACTGCTATTTGCATATTGGTCTACATGTATGTTCTTTTTCTCTGCTGATTATTAAGTTTGTTTGGTTGATACTGCTGATTTTTAATTTTGATTTGAGCAGTCAGGTTTTGAGGGATTTATTAGGGACAAATACACAGCTCTTCCTGACACGCGTGAGAGGATTCTGGCTACAGATCTCACTGCATCATGGACGTAAGCATATTTTTTCATTTCGTTTTTGTGACCTGACATAATTGTTAAGTGGAATTCTAATATTTTTGGCTATCCCTCTTGGTTAAGACAAATCCTTGTTACTGAGATAAATGGATGCAGGTATCCGTACGAATCTATTTATAGCATCCCTCAAAAGCCACTATACTTCACAGAAAGATACTTGAGTGTGAAAAAAGTTCTGGCTGACACTTTCTACGGTCCTCCAAAAGGAGGAGTATACAGCCCCTCTGTCCAAAGCACTCTTTATCACATGGCAACAAATGTTCTCAAGGGGTCTCTCTCTCTCTCTCTCTCTCACACGCGCGCACACACACACGCTCGCACACATTCCTGTACCATTTGTGCTTGCTTTTCTGTGTGGCATTTTGTTAAGTAAAATTTTTATGTTCATGATTTCAGGTTTCCTGACATAGCAACAGTACAACTGAAAATGCCAAATATTCATTTCTTACCTGTTAATCTATCTAACAAGGATAATACTATTGTGAAGGTAAGACTCCTTTGCATTTATATCTGTAACAAGGATAATATTAACATAGTGGAATCTCAGTCAATTTCTGTTTAGTTTCTGATATCCATTACCCGACTTTGCAATGTTCTACGTCACTGTTGCTTTGAATGCCCTGTTTCTTTTGCATTATTGGAATGGGTGTTTCCTGTGCTTTATGGGTCAAATTCACTTTGGGATCACATTGAATGGTTCTTCATGCTCAAGAAGCATAAGGACATTTTCCACTCGCGTACTCTTATCATAATCAGACGATATGTTATAAGCTTGCCTGATTTCCATTGCCAACGAAACATTAAGGATATTTGCCAAGCACTGCATCCTAAAAGCTCTGCCTGAGTCTCGTTTCTGCAGACGATCATGATTCATGACCAATATGCTTCCATCTATATTCTTTAGAGAAATGGATTGAGTTTAATGTGATATAGGTGAAACCAAAAGGTATTAACTAAAATATAGAGGGTAATGGGTTAGGCTTCCCAATTTCATTGCATATGGATTGGTATGATGAGGTTAATTTGCTATATTTTGTTCTCTTTTTTTCTTTGGGTACAAGTTAATGCGTTATTGTTAATAGACTATTAACATTATTTTTTTCTCCTTTTACAATTTTGGCAGTTTGAGGATGATGTTTATCTCCCAACAGATGAACCGCATGGATCGATAGAAGCTACTCTAAGCCGTTTCTGGTCAAAGATGTAGTGCTCGCTTTTCACAGTGTGTGCATTTTTATGTTTTTAAAGACAGCGGTTTTTGCTCAATGTTTGAAACTACATGATATCATCTTGCTTGATCTTTCCTCCACTGTAAACTGAGGTAGCCTACATAATGCTTTCTCAGGAAGACTTAGTCATGCCTCGAAGTCACAGAACTCAGAAAAGTTGTGAAATGTGAATAGAAATAAGAATGGGATCTATGAATGTTTTTCATTTATATTTCATGTCTAATTAATCAGGTATACTTCAACGATGTGTCCGAAATTAGAATAATGCTAGGGACACTAAATTTGACTCCCGGATTATACATGTACATATGTATTTTTCAAAAATACTTATGTTTTTCATACACGTCCAAGACTTGGTAAAATTACAAGATTTTTTTAAAATCAAATGAAGAATACACGTATTATATGTATGTATGTATTCTCTATGTTTAATACATGTATTTTTTATTATAAAATTTTTAATAATACACACAAAATTCACATATGATACATGTATTTTTCACGTATTGCCCAATAGACTTGATTTCACATATTGCCCTAAACCCTAGACTTGATTTCTCATTTTGCCCAATAGTCTTTGTTGTGGATAGACCATTTTTCCAAAAATTCATGCCAGCATGGCAGAATAAAAGAGCAACATACACTACGAAATTCTCAATTGGTCTGGGATGCTATTAAATTCAATTGAGATTTTAATAGATTGTAATTACATGATTTTAATGTAATGAATTTCAGCCGGATTTGTAACTATATGATTTTACTCATGATTTTATTATATTGCAATTACATGATTTTACTTATGATTTTAATTCACTTAGGATTTTACTTGTGATTTTAATAGATTGGAATGACATGATTTTACTTATATTTCTATACAAGCTTGAACTCTATCACCCATCATCATTCACCTAAATACATAACCTGAAGGAATATACCCAATTTTTAGGATATAGAAACCCAATTTTTAGGGTTAATATAAAGATGGAGGCACAGTAACCATCAAAGGTTAGTCTAGGGAGAATACACCGACATCAACAATGTAACTCCAAATATAGCCACACATGGCCAGAATGAATACGTTAAAAAAACACAACACAACTGAGAAACCAACAATAGAAATACAAAAGCATAAGTAGAGGCTAGAAGCTACATCCAAAACCACCAACACCGAATGCAAAACATATAGCACTAGAAATACAAAATAAAGAAACATACTGAAAACTTCTAGCCCAACCCCATGACTACACCTAGTTTTTGTCAAAGCTTGGACCAAAACTGTGGAGTAAAAAAACACCTTGCACCTTATCAACGTTTCTTCAAGATTGTGGGTAAGGCTTCTTCTTTCTTTTTTTGTTTTGTCTTGGTCCCAGACATTTTGGGATAGGGAATTAGAAAAAATATTTAGCCATGTGTGTTGTATGTGCAGCAGCTACGTATAAAAAAGAAAAAAAAGAAAAAAAAAGCCTCTTTGAGGCATTAGATCAAGCAACTTGTGGGTACACCGACAGAGTTGTGAAGGGTTGCAACTCCTTGTGAGGAAATGTCTACAATTAGCAGGAGATTCTAAAAAAAAAAGTATAAAAAATATAATTTTGCTCCAAATAAGCTTGTCTACAAGGAAAGAAGAGCTATTGGAAAATGCCCATTAGCTCCAGAAGAGGCAATATCGTCTTTCTTGTTAATGTTTCTTTATCGTCTCTCTTGTGAAAAGTTTTTTTTTATGTACAGTCAAATAGTGGGGGGAAAAAAGTATGAGAGCATATATGAGATTTGTTATGTGATTTGGTATTTATATCACACACTCCAAAGTCTCACACAACACATCATTTAATGAAATACCTCAAAATCAGTAAGTTTTTGAATACCAAGGTACTTTTTCTTATCTTTTAAAAGTCCTAATTGAATACCACCGAACTTGTTTTGATTATTTAATAATCCTAATTAAATACCAATAGATTTTTATTGATTACTTAAAAATCCTAATTGAATACCACCATACTTTTAAGCTTCCAAACAATCCATTAAAGTCACAATTGAATCCACCCCTAAATTGCATCTCAGTTTGTTCCAGGCCATGCACTTTCAAGAACAAATATATAGGCTAGATGGTTTTGTTAGCTAAGAGCCTACTTTGGGTGATTTTGGAGCACAAAATGAAGGTCTTCCTTAAAAAGCATTGATTCTTGGAATCAAGGGATGACTTCAAAGGTATAAAGATTGTTGCAAAAAATAAAAAACAATAAATAAATTGAATCCAAGATATGACTTTTCCCAGACTTGTGTAAATTAAATGGACAAACAAAAGTAACACTAAATATTTTTCACTATGAAAACTCTCTAAGTTGTGGTTTTCTGAGGGATGATTTGAACTGACTGAGAATGGTGCCTTTTATAAGCACCATAACCATGCATAAAGGAGAAAAACTCTCCGTTTTCATCTATATGTTTTTCCTATAAACTTTCTCATACACATTTCATTTTCCTTTTGTTTATTTTACTATATATATTTTCCTTCTTTTTCTCTCCTCCACAAAGGAGGGAAACTCATCAATCTCCCCTTCTCGACTTAGGTGGAGGGCTCTAGCAGTCCAGCTACTCTTCTGCAAAATTTGTACTTGTCCTTAGGTAAGGACTCGGTCATCATATCTAAACTGTTGTCATTAGTATGGATCTTCTCAAGCTGTAATGCTTAGACTCCAAGACATCACGTATCTAGTGATATACAATGTGCTTTGACCTTAAGTGAGAACTCAAATTCGTGCTCAAGCGGATCACACTTTGACTATCACAATGTAAAATGTATTTATGCTACTTTTGCCCTAATTCTAGTAGGAATCGCTTCATCCAGAGCATTTCTTTACATGCTTTAGTTGCTGCAATAAACTATGCTTCTGTAGTTGATAAGGCAACACATTTCTGTAACTTTGATTGCCCTGAAATTGCTCCTCCTGAAAATTTAATCAGGTATTCGAAAGTAGACTTTTTGGAATCAAGATCCCCTACCATGTTTGCATCTGTGTAGCCAATCAATTCAGGTTTTCCACTTCCAAAGCACAAACTCATTTTGGAAGTATCCATGAGATATCTGAGAATCCAATTCATAGCGTTCCAATGCCCTCAGCCTGGTTTTGACATGAATCTACTTACAAAGCCAATTGTGTGTGTTATGTCTGGTCTCATGCAAATTATTGCATACATCAATTACCAACGGCAGAGGAATATGGCAACATAGCCATATCTTCTTTTTCTTTCTCACATGTAGGACTCTGCTTCGAACTAAGCATGAAGTGACTAGGAAATGGAGTAGCAACCTGTTTTGCTTTATCCACAAACCACTTTAGTACCTTCTCGATATAAGTTTCCTGTGATAACCATATCTTCCGAGTTTTTCGATCATGGAATATACTTATACCGAGGATTCGTTTTGTGGGTCCTAAGTCGTTCATAGCAAAAAACTTGCTTATCTTTTTCTTCAGCTTGCTAATCTTGTCACTGTTTTGTCCTACAATCAACATGTCATCGACATATAGAAGAAGTCTGATGAACTCACATCATCGAATCTTTTCACAACTACACAATGGTCTGAAGTAGTCCTCCAATATCTATGTTTAATCATGAAGGAATCGAACTTCTTTCCATATAAATTCTTTTTCAGACGACATACCAATTCTTCTTGCCGTTGATTCTAAATCATTCTGGCTACTCCATGTAGATTTATTCTTCAAGATCTTCGTGAAGAAAAGTAGTCTTCACATCTAGTTGTTCGATCTCGAGATTCAGGCTAGCAGCCAAACCAAGTACAACCCGTATGGATGATATCTTCACTATGGGTGAGAAAATCTCTTTAAAATAAGGGAATTTTTTTTTTTTTTTTTTTTTTTTTTTTTTTTTTTTTTTTTTTTTTTTTTTTTTTTTTTTTTTTTTTTTTTTTTTTTTTTTTTTTTTTTTTTTTTTTTTTTTTTTTTTTTTTTTTTTTTTTTTTTTTTTTTTTTTTTTTTTTTTTTTTTTTTTTTTTTTTTTTTTTTTTTTTTTTTTTTTTTTTTTTTTTTTTTTTTTTTTTTTTTTTTTTTTTTTTTTTTTTTTTTTTTTTTTTTTTTTTTTTTTTTTTTTTTTTTTTTTTTTTTTTTTTTTTTTTTTTTTTTTTTTTTTTTTTTTTTTTTTTTTTTTTTTTTTTTTTTTTTTTTTTTTTTTTTTTTTTTTTTTTTTTTTTTTTTTTTTTTTTTGTTTTTTTTTTTTTTTTTTTGATTTGTGATTATACCAGCTTATTTCCCACATAAGAAATGCAGAGTGCGTCATGTGCAACTTATATGTTGGAAAAAAAATTAAACCACCACAACATATGCATCCCCAACATCTATTGGTATTGTTTAGGTTTAGAAAATAGAAACTGCAACGTAATGTGTAATTTTTTTTCTTACTCTTATATTTGTATTTTTAGGCTTGTAAAATAGAAACAATAATGCAATATCCTTTTTTTTTTTACTCTTATATTAGTATTTTTAGAAAATGTTTTTTTTTTTTTTTTTTTTTTATAAAAATTAATTAGTTAAACAACTATTTTTTTATTTGGTAACAACTATTTAAGTTGTCATCCAATTTTGATAACAGAAAATGATTATTTGGGTAGACAAAAAAAATATTTCAGTTGATGGTCAAGAATATAATATAAATACTAAAAAACTAAACATCTATATATAAAGGCAGAAGGCCTTAATAAGAATAAAGTAAAGCCTAGCTTTGTGTGGTTAAATGCCACCTTCTGTAAAGTTGAGGTCATCGGTTCATGTCCTATAAGTTGCATATTATTATTTTTTAATTAAATTAAATGAAAATGGTGTCACATGACATTATGTGGTGGGGGATGGTCAGAGATGGTGGTCAGTGGGTGGCGTGGCTAATGGTGGCAGAGGACAACGGAGGTCCGGGTCGGGGTTTATAGGGTTGCAAAAAAAAGGGGGAAATGGAAAGAAAATAGGCCATTTACCATATGTTTATTATTAAAGTTTTTTTTATCATCACTATATACTAATTTTTCATTTTAGGGGATTTAATTGTACAAAAGATACAATTACCCAAAAAAAAAAATTATTAATAACCTTTAAGTTAAATTACCAATTAAATCCTATTTTCCCGACAAATTTAACTTAAAAAGACTGTATACAAGATCTCCTCTTGTCTAAGGCCTAGTTTGAGATTGCTGTCACTTTTAAAAAAAGTTGCTTCTGCTGTGCTTTAAAAATAATTAGCTGTAAAGTAAAGCAGCTCCATGTTTGGTAAACACTATTTTTAAAGTGTTGTTAGTACAAAAAACAGTGTTAAAACCGTTTGGTAAATTTTAATATAAAATTGTTGTAACTGTGAATAATGACTAAAATAGATATGATGTTAAAAGTGTTATGCACTAATCATGTGGTGGTAGTGGTAGTGATAGTGATGGAGTGGAGTTGGTACTGGAGATGAAGGCAAAGTTGATGGTTGTGGTGGTGGGGATGGCAGTTGTGGAGGTGGTGGTGGTGGTGGTAGTGGCAACATGGTGATGGTGGTAGATGTGAAGGTTTTGGAGGAGGTGGTGATTGTGATGGTGGTGGTGGTGGTGGTGGCGGCGGTGGTGGTGAATGAGGAAGAGGTGATGTTGGAGGTGGTGGTGGCGGAGGATGAGGAGGAGGAGGATGTGGTGGTTGTGGTGGTGGTGGTGGCGGTGGTTGTGGAGGTAGTAAATGTGGTGGTGCAAGTGGTGGAGTTGGATGTAAAAGTGGAGGTGGTGTCATTTTTTTAAAATGAATGATAATATTTTGAGAATTAAAAAAATTCATTAAATGTTCATCTCTGCTTCTTTTGAAAGCAGCTTTGAAAAGCAACCCAGAGTCAGCTTTTAAAAGCTGCTATCAAAAGGCTACTACTTTTAAAATAATCGGGATATGTTAATTTTACCAAACACCTTAAACTGCTTGACTTTAAAGTTAAGCAGGTTTTTGGCCAAAAAAAGCAATCCCAAACGGGGCCTAAGTTAAATTTGTCGGGAAAATAGGATTTAATTGGTATATCTTAGTAGCACATAAAATTAAAAAAATAATTAATGCAATTAAGATTAAATTGAATGCCTACACACAAATAAGCAAAAATTATGTCTAATGCAAGTAAGTTTGCGGTAGAAAAACTCAAAACCGGTCAAGACTCGTGGTTTACTAAATCTTATCTCTTAAGATATAATGATCAGATCACGGCCTAAGGAAGGGGCACTCCAAACCAAAAGAACAAGTAAACCATGAATTAGAAAATATAGAGCACCTAAAGATAAAAATACCATGTGTAGTCAAGTAAAGACTCTGGTTTAGTAAAATTGAAAGGCGGCATTTTACAAAATGTATTTTTAATTTGTCCAATGTATCAACAAGTCGGTCACAATCTCTACATTCTAGTTCTAAAACAAGGTGAGAAGTGTGACTGTTGTGACTCTTAGAAGAGCCACTTCATAGTGTCGAGATGGACACTGGCAGTTTGGTTTCAAAGATATGTGACTGAAAATGCATGGAAGCTAAATTTTCATTCATTTACATCGTATATACAACACAATTTTAAAACAAAAATATTTAATTCACTGACATATCTAATGGATGACTGAGAGTATAAATCATTAACTAGTCTTTCCCTTACCATTTGGGTAACCCAATAGCTTTTATTGTAATATATAGTATTTAGAGCAAGTTCAATTTTCCTCCCAAACCCTAGCCCCCTCTCTCCCCAAAAACCTTTTTAGAGCCGTTTTCACTTTGAGGGGGGAGGAGGAAGCCACTCTTCTTCCTCCCTCTCTTCTCCCATCATTTCCAAAGATAAAAGGTTTTACCTATTTGTCTTTGTTTTGTTATGATTTTCCTCTAACCATCACAGGCGGTTGCATCTCGTCGTCGGATTTCTACTTGCGTTTCGGTGTCGGGCCTCCGCCATCCTTTTTGCAATTTCTTTATGTTCGGAATAAGTCACAGAGACTCTTTGGGTTCTCTGTGTAGTTTTCACCTCTTCTTTTGAGAGAACTTTTCACATCTCCTTTGTGAGAGCTTTTCACCTCTCCTTTGTGAGAGCTTTTCATTTCTTCTTTGTGAGAGTTTTATTTGTGTTGTTATGATTTGGTTTTTTCAAGCTTTATCTTTTTTTTATTATTCCGAGATTACAATCTTAGTTGGGATGCCAATGTCAGAGTTTCTTCGATCCTACATGATCGTTAGTAGAGGCACAACAGATTGTCTTAATTTGGATGTTAGACTGCTCCATTATTGTAATGGCCCTTTGTGGCTAGTGGCTTTTTTTACTGAATTATGAATGCAATCCTAGAATTTTTAAAAAAACTAAAATAAAAATAAAAATAGCGAGTTCAATTTTCCCATGCCCAATTTCCCTGTGCCCTCCTATTTATTTCTTAATATTTTTCCACATGTCTTCATACTTAACAGAGATATACGGCTAAATCCAATTGAACAATGACACAAACATTGAAAATAAAACCTTTTTTTTTCTCTCTTTATGCACTCTTCCGTTAGCAACCCCAAACTAGTCAATTCCATCAGCCACTCACCCAGTCGGCTACAACCGCCTCCCGTCCCGCGGCCGGCAAAGCCTTCTTTTTCTACCTTTGTCCCCTTCTCTCTCCCATGATTTCTCTGATTTCTTCTCGATCTCCCTCTCTCTTTCAAAGAAGAAATCAGAAGAGCATGTTTTAATCTTGTTTGCAGATCCATAAAAACAATATGCAAAGCTTAAACTTTGTTTGATTTTGATCAGATTGGGGGATGTTAATTTTCGATATGAAGAAGAATGAGGGCAATCTAGGTTCGTATTTGGGATTTCACTCTCCAATTGGCCGAAGCGACTTCTATAACCATTTTGAAATAGATCTTGATCTAGCATCAAGGGGGAGAACGAGAGAGATAAAAAGGGAAGGGAAACAGAGAGAAGAGGCTTGCCGACGATAAGGAGGAGAGGGGTTGCTTTGCGCCGGCGGGGTGGGGTTGTTGACACAATTGGGTGGGCTCGAGTTCTAATGCAGGAATTCTAATATATTTAATTATTTTAATTAAAAAAAGGGCTAAAAGAGAATTAACATAATTAAACTCCTGTTAAGTTGTGTATATACAACACAATTTTAAAACAAAAATATTTAATTCACTAACATATCTAATGGATGACCATCAACTAGTCTTTCCCTCACCATTTGGCTAACCGTTACCCAATTGCTTTTATTTAGAGCATCTCAAAGCGAGATGTCAAATACAAAATATTAAATTTGGATGACTTACGGGGCAATTTGACACATAGTTATTTTATTTTATTTTTATGATAAGCGATAGAATATTATTGATGTAGGAAAGGTAATAACAAAAGTTTGAACTCGTATCAAGGGCAGTGGAAAGTCCTTGGTCACGAATTGCAATGTTTGTACAGTACATCAGAAATAAAATCAGGAGGTTCTTCAAACCAGTATAGATAACCCCTGATATGCAAGGCAAAATGCACTAAACGGTGAGCCACATCATTAGCAGTACGACGAATATGGGTAAAACATTCCCCAGTGATCTGTGTCAGCAAGCTCTTGGTATCCTCCCCCACAGGTCCTATGACGGACCTATCTATGGAGTGACTTCAAAGTGCTATAACGATCTGGAGAGCATCACTTTCAAAGACAACATTTTGATAACCCTTTTCCATCGCCAATACTGTACCTGTTCTTGAAGCCAAAGCCTCTACTTGTGGTGCAAAGAAAACATAAGTCAATTTAGTTGCACAACCCGCCACAAATTTGCCGGTGGAGTCTCTCACAACCACACCAACACCACCCTCCGTGGTCCCTAGCTTCCAAGCACCATCCACATTTATTTTAAGAGTGTTCTCATGTGGTGGCTGCCACATTTGTTTCATTTGACCTTGCCTACTTTGAGACCCCAAGCAATTATTAACCAGCAAAAAATCCAGTAGCCTTAGAGATGCATGCAAGCTAACTTGTTCAGGCCTACTTTTCTTATTATTCCATAGCAATTCATTGCGTGCTTCCCAAATTGCCCAACCCACCATGAGAAAATTTGCAAAGTCATGACAGCTTAGTTGCTCTGCACAGCGAAATACCCAATCCTTGGATGAATAATCGTCATTGTTCCACCTACTACTACTTAATGTCGAACTACGCCAAGTACAAATTGCAAATGGGCAGTCACGAAGGATATGAATTGAAGATTCGGTTGGGCCCCCAAATAACATGCATTCCTCATCTATAGTCACCTTTTTTGGTGCTAAATTTGCCTTCGTAGGTAATATTCCAGAGATAACACGCCACCAAAAAGTCTTGACTTTGGCTGGCACGATGGCTTTCCAAATTAGAGACCAATACCTAGCGACTGCATCCCGATTTGAGGAGGATGCCCTGCCAGTGGGGGAATGCAAAAATCTGGCTACGTGGTAGGCACTCTTAACTATGAACATACCTTTTTTTTATCATAATGCCACACCAACATATCGGGTGTCAAACGCAGACTCAGCGGGATAGAGCGAATGAGCATCACTTCTTCAGGAAAGAAAAAAGTTTGCAGCAGCGGAACATTCCATTCTCGTGAGTCACCATGAATTAAATTTGATACTTTTGTGATAGCACTGTTCTCAGGCTTGGGAGAGAAGATCCGAAAGCTATTGGGTTGTGGCAACCACCGATCCTCCCATATGCCAATTGTATCTCCGCACCCCACTTGCCATATGGAGCCTTGAATAATAACTGTTCTTGCTTCACAAAGACTTTTCCACACAACAGAGGCATGAGGACTTACTGCAGTTTCAAGAAAAGAATGATTTGGAAAATATTTGGCTTTAAGGACTCTCGTGATCAAGGAGTCCAGATTCTGGAGAAGGCGCCACCCTTGTTTGGCCAACAAAGCCAGATTAAAAGCATGCAAATTTCGAAAGCCAAGGCCTCCCTTTTCTTTTGGGGCGCATAACTTGTCCCAAGCCATCCAATGAATTTTCTTGTTTTCAGTAGAGCTATTCCACCAGAATTGTGCAACCAGCTTGTTGAGATCCTCGCAGACATATTTAGGTAATAAAAAACAGCTCATTGTATAGATTGGTATCGCCTGTGCTACCACTTTAATTAAGATTTCTTTCCCGGCGCCACTTAACAACTTCCCTTTCCAGGTTTGTAATTTCTTCCAGAGCCGCTCTTTTAAGTGGTTAAAGCTTGCACCCTTCTTCTTATCCAGCACCATAGGAAGGCCTAAATAATGACTATGATGATCAACACAAGGGATACCCAAATATTGTGCCAGCATCAGTTGATCTCCCCTATGAACATTCTTACTGAAACATACTGCACTTTTTTGGAAATTGACATGTTGTCCTGACGCGCGCTCATAGGTAGCAAGTATATCTTTGAGAACCATGCAATCAGCCATGTTGGCCAGCGCAAAGAGAAAACTGTCATCCGCGAAAAAAAGGTGGCTGATAGCAGGCGCCCCTCTGCATATGGAAACACCTTTAAGAAAACCCTCCCTTTCCTTTTGTGCAATTAGTGCCGTGAGACCTTCAGCACAGAAAAGAAAAAGATAAGGGGACAATGGGTCTCCTTGATGAAGGCCTCTGGACGGGTGAAGGAAGCCATGAGGGGTCCCATTAATCACGAAGGAGTAGCTCACGGTTGAGATACAAGTAAGCATTAACTGAATCCAATGCTCTGCAAAACCCAATTTTCTCATAATAGCTTCCAGAAAACTCCATTCAATGCGATCATAAGCTTTGCTCATATCCAGTTTTAGTGCCATGAATCCTTTCTTACTTCACCGACGTCCATGAAGGTAATGAATTAATTCAGCTGCAACTTGCAAGGATGGTGTTATCCGAGATAAGCCTTCCAGAAATGAATGCACTCTGATTGGGAGATATGATTGTGTCAAGGATAAGCTTTAATCTGTTAGCTAAAACCTTTGAGGCAATTTTAAACAAAACATTGCATAGATTGATCGGGCGCAGCTGGGACATGTCTTTTGGATGCTTCACTTTTGGTATGAGTCCTTGATAGCTCTTGTGACATCTGATCCAACAATATGCCAACATTTTTGGAAAAAAATTGGAGGCATCCCATCGGGACCTGGCGCTTGGGGCGGGTACACTGAAAAACTGCTTCCTGAATCTCCGCATCACGGTAGTCTGCGAGTAAGAGATTATTCATATCCGGTGTGACTCTCGACTCCACTGCATCAATGATCTCCCCCTCACTTCCAGAGGCAGATGAAGTGAAGAGATGTGTGAAATAATCCAACACAACAGATTGAAGGCCATGTTCATCCTCACGCCATCTTCCAGTATTATCCCTCAAGCCTTTAACATAATTGCGTTGCTTTTGATTGCTTGCTCTTTGATGAAGAAACGTGTGTTTCTATCTCCTTCTTTTAGCCAAGAGACTTTAGAGCGCTGCTTCCAGAAAGCTTCCTCCCTAGAGAGAAGAGAATCAAGTTGGGACATGAGGAGGTGGTATGTTGCTGTTGTGTTCTCAGAATTGGGTTGTCTCCACACCACATCTAATTGGCTACGTACCCGCTGGATTTCAGCCTTGGTTGTACCAAACATCGATCTTTGCCATTGCATAAGTTGGATCCTGGTGGTTTTAATCTTCTCACACACTTGGTACATGAGCAGTGGCGAAGCCAGGATTTCATGTGTGTGGGGGCCCCTTACAAATTATAAATAATCAAAAATTCGAACTCACAATACATACAAAAAATAGTGTATATATATATATATATATCACATATGTCAAGAATTATATTGCTTATTGGTTGCAATCATAATTGTTCTCAACAAAGGGATAGACAAATAAATTCTAAGCAAGAAAAATTGCAAGAGATAGACAAAGAGTAGCGATTTAGCAAATATCTTTAAAGCTTTTTCCCCCCATCAAACCCAATAGAAAGAAAAAAAAATCAAAATTTCCCAAATTAAAAACAAACTTAGGCCCCTTCATGCATTCATATCATACATGAAAATATATTGACTAAGTATGAAAAATGGTTTTTTGGAATAATCATTTTCTCAAGATAATTTTTGGCGGCTTTTATTCCTTACACATCAAATAAGAAAACTTGATTTTATGGTATTTTAGTATGAAGTATATATTTACTTAATGAGCCATCATTTTTAGCCTAAATCGTATTTTACACTAAATCCGATTTTTCATATTTTGATTTGGTGGGAATTTGATTTTCTAGTATTTTTATTTGAATTCAAATGAAGGGTACTTCCTTATTTACATTGTAAACTTAAATAAATGGAGTAATATAAAAATAAATTAAAGTCAAAGGACAAAGACATTTACTTAAATGTTGAAAATGGAAATAAGGTAATCTGTACACCTGGAGTGCACCACCACCAGCTGAGCAATAGCGCAATTTGAACTACCTCCTTGTGCCTAATTAATAAGTTCACCACAACACATGTGGGTACATATCAAAACGTAAAGAATTTGAAATAATATACATATACAAATACATAACAGTATATTACTTTTCAAATATAAAAAAACTTGAGTGGGGGCCCGGGACCACACTGGTCCTAGTGTGGCTCCGCCCCTGTACATGAGCGTGCCTGTAAAAGAAGTATTCCATGCGTTTAACTCCACACAAAATGACAAAAAATTTATTATTTTATTATTATTTTTAAAATTAACAGGACCTATAAGATGCTTAATTCCTGTAGAATTTGACTAGATCAGGAATGTCCACGTGGCACTTTGCTGGTAAACTTTTCCTAGTGGTAAATTCAGGAAAGTCGTGAGTTCCAAGGAATCCTTCTAAACTTGGGAATTAAGAAACCCTACGCTCTTCGAAGGCCCGTATATATACCGAGGCAAACAGAAGCGGAACAGACGAAACAGAGGAGCACAAAACCAAAAGAAGATACAAGTTACCAAGACTTGCAAAACATAAATGATGAGTCGATTTTATATTATATATTTAGCCTCATTCTTAGTATATTTTGGTTAATATTTTGGAAGAATTTTGATACTTTGAATTATATTTCCAATATAGGACTTTCGACTTCCTCTGGAGCAAAACATAATCAAATGGACGAATTTTGGAGTAATTCCAGTTGGAGGACGTTCGTGAGCCACTTAGCTTGATCGTATCAAAATATCAGACTTTTCCACCAAGCGATGATTTCCTGGTGAATAAATGAAGGAGCAGTGCACTGTGCTGGAATAGTGACGTTTTGGGCTTGTATTGCGTTTTTGGAGCCCAAGATGACCTCGGATGGGTTCATGGCCTTCTGGAGAAGTGTTCGGAATATTTTTATCTTTAAAACGAGCTATCTTGGGCCAGATTTGGAGGAGATTTGAGACCAAAACGTGGCTGACCAGATTATTGGCAGATTCTCCTAATCCAATTTGGACTTTATTTCCTAGTCTTATTTTATTTTAACTTAGTTTCCTTGTGGGGATTGGGCAGCTAGGTTTTAGGAGGTATTTAAGCTCCTTTTCACAGCAATTTAGAGGACTCCCTTTTTACTTCTTTTTGGCTTTTGGAGCAATTGCTAGGGTTTTGGATTTTCGCGACTTTCAGGTGTTTGCATTCTTATTCTTCTTAATGATATTTTCTTGGATTTCAATTGTGAACATGCGTAACTAACTCTCTTTTGCTAGGGTGAGGCCACGAGCCTTAGCAAGAATATGTAGTTTCTGTCCAATTTGCTTATGATTATATGCATGCAGGTTTTCGAATTATTCATCACTGGGTTAAACTATCTAAGTGTCTTGATGCTTGATCACCATTAGGATGTTTAGAAAAGTAATTTGATGCAGTTTTGGTCGGAGGTCGGTCCCTGAAATTGACGAAGGCTTCTTGTGATTAATATGTGCAAGTTCACTTAGGATGAATACCACGTCTTAAGGGTTGCATGGTTTTTCAAAAGGTTTCACAGAACTTAATGAGTCATGTATGTTTAGATTCGATCTGAATACCACAGACGGATTGCATGTATGATATACGCTCTATGTTGGGGGTCCAAGTAGGCATATATTAGGAATACCTAACCTTCGAAATATGCATGTATAGATTATAAGTAATTGGGGGAACTATATAGAATTGTTAAGGTGACGGCGGATCCCTAGTGCTTTCTTAATTTGATTTCTAAAAACACAACTGTTTCTCTTGCCCTTAGCTTTAATTTTGCATATTGCCTTATTTTTATTAGTTAAATTCTTTTAATTTAAGGTCTTCAAATCAAACATCTCAACTTTCTCTTTTGCAATAATTAATTAGAATTTGGTTGCTACGAGTTATTTAATAATCCTTGCGGAGAACGACCTTGCGAGAATCATTTATACTACAATAACCTTGTCATTCTTGCAAGTTTTGTAGGAGTTTTAACCCTGTTTGCGCAGGTACTAAAAAGCCTATCAATAAACAAGGAGAGAGAGCGAGAGACTGCACCACGATTTCTAGTTTCTACTTTACCAGGTATTTTTATTCTTTCCAAGTTATATTTGTACCACTATTTCTTCTTCATATGTTTTTTTTTAGATGTGAAATATAGTATTTATTTTGCTGTCAACGTTTGTGATGCTCTTGCATTATAAATTTGCATAGTTTTTCTTTTGTTTTCGTATCATAAATCACTTATTTAAACTTGGGTTTCAAACCAAAAGTGGTTTGTTTCGATGTGAAATATAGTATATGACTCTGCTTGTGACCGGTAATTTGGGGGTTTAAAATATATCATTGTGACTGGTAAATATTATAATATGGATTAAGGTTTTAAACAAATCCGTAAGTTTAGGTCTTCACTTGACTTCAGAATCGTCTCTCTGATCTGAACTATCTATTTGTATCGGACTCAGGTCAAGGGTTATCTTTCGAACTGTTAGGGAAATAAAAGAGTAATTGGTCATCCATGTATCTTGATATTTTTGTGGTTCAAAATCCATGTAAATTGAGCACTCATAAAGAATAATTAATGAGCGGTTGCCTCTCAATTAAGAAAGAGGAACAAATGTGGTAATTTGTTTCCTTGTGGACCTTGGTTTCCGATTGTTAATTTCCAGAGAGCACTTTAATTACTTTGCTTGGAAGTAAAATTTTCAATTACGTGTTCTACCAGTCATGGTGTATATGCAATGCTTTTTAGATTAGCATAGTTGATGTTGGGTCCGTTTCTACTTTATACTTTCTATGTAGGGCGTTCCTGCAATACTTTTGAATCTTAGCTCTTTATGGACAAAACACTTGAGATACGAAAAGTCGCCCTTTTTCCCAACAAAAAGAGGACGAGAGTTGATGACAGAGATGGAATCATTCATAATGTCAAGGAGGCTTTGGATGAATATCGAGAGACATTAACTAAGCTCCGTCAAAAACATGGTAGTGAAGCCAACAAACTAGATTGTTGGAGGCCTGATATTGAAGCAGTAATGCATCTGAGAAAGAAAGGAAAATTGGTTAACATGAGGAAGCAATTAGGACCGATTCTAGGAGTTGAGGTTGGTGACGAGTTTCGTAACAGGGCTGAACTAATTGTTGCTGGCCTCCATCATAACTTTTGGCGTGGTATTGAGTATATGAAGAAGGATGGGAAAATTTTGGCAACAAGCATTGTTAATTCTGGCCGTTACGCTAACCATGTAGGATCTCCTGATATCTTGTTTTATTCAGGTGAAGGTGGAAATCCTAGGGTTGAATGTAAAAAGCCGAAGGATCAAACACTTGAACGTGGAAACCTTGCACTAAAGAATAGCATGGAAGTACGAACTCATGTAAGGGTAATTCGTGCCGTTAAACATTTTGAGGTGGGCACATGTGCTAAGAAACGTTCTTTCACAACTTATGTTTACGATGGTCTCTACAAAGTCGAGCATTTTTGGCAAGAAAGAGGGGAATTCGGCAAACTTGTGTTTAAATATTTTTTGAAAAGGATACCGTGGCAACCAATAATCACATGGGAAAAAGTTTCAAAACAGTCAAAAAAGCCTATGGTGTCAAAGGATATTATTTGTAAAAATGATATCTCTGAAGGGAAAGAGATGATGCCTATTCGTGTGGTCAATGCAATAGATAGCGAGAGTCATCCAGCTTTCAATTACACACGGTCCGTGATTTATCCAAATTTCTTCATGGCAACAAAACAAAGGGGTTGTGATTGCCTTCATGGATGCTTAGAATGCAAGTCATGTCCTTGTGTAATGAACACTGGAGGGGTTTGTTCACCTAACAACACGATAATAGATAGGAAATCCCTTATTTACGACTGCGGTACCACGTGTAAGTCCTCTTCTAGCAAAAATAGAAGTTGTCAACATGGGATTCAGTTTAAACTTGAAGTCTTCAGGACAAAATCAAAAGGATGGGGTGTCAGATCACGATCATATATTCCATGTGGAAGTTTCATATGTGAGTACGTAGGAGAAATTCTTCAAGAGAAAGAAGCTAAACGAAGAAGGGGGAGTGATGAGTATTTCTTTTGGACAAATGGTAAATTTGTTGACCATGCTTTTCGAGATGCTTCTCAACATGTCTCTTTTCCTATGTTACCAAATTTCTTCGGAGACGGTTTTGTCATTGATGCCACACAACATGGGAATGTAGGAAGATTTGTCAATCATAGTTCTTCTCCTAATTTGTTTGCCCAAAATATCCTTTATGATCATGATGATGTGAGAATCCCACACATGATGTTATTCGCTAAGAAGAGCATTCCACCTAACCAAGAGCTAACTTATGATTATAGTTCTAGAGTAGGTAAGATTGTACCATAAGATGGCAATTTCAAGATGAAAGTTTGTTATCATGGTGGGATGTTTTAACATTCTGACCCATTTTTTATTTATTCATTTATTATTAAATTTATTTAATTATGAAATTACAATTTTGCCCTCAAAGTAGGATCATTTTGGTCACTTTATAATTCGGTAGGATTTTGGAAATATGAATTACATTGTTGTGTAGAGCGCGTTGATATGAGTTTCGTAGACACGTAGTGGGCTCAAATTGGAGTTGTAACAAAGAAGTTATGATCAACGGAAGTATAGTGGCACAACTGTAAATATTTCAAAGTTGGATTTTTAAAACTCAAATCTCACTTTCTCTTCCCCCTCGATAACTCCCTCTCTGGCGAAACCCTCCTTTTCTACAGCTGGCCACGTTTTGGCCTGCAACCACCACATTTGGCCACCCTAATTGACAGGGTTGGTACCAAAATGACGTCCTCACTTCCCTCTCTTCGTCCCGCCCCATCCCCCGCTGTAGCCAATAGCCAAGTGGTCGGAAAACGCAGCAAAAACCGTCGATTTTTACCCAAAACTTTTGTCGTCGTTTTTGACAATTTCGGCCACCATTTTTGTCGATCCAGGTATGTTTTCTCATCTTTTCAACGTGATCTAGCTGATGGTTGGGTTGGTTAGGATTGATTTTGAAGATTTGAAACTCGTTTTACAACTCAAAAGTTTCAGCCAGGTTTCGGCTCCAGTTTCCTGCAAGTTCCAGTCACTTTTTGGCAGTGGCCTAAGAACAAAAGTTGCTCCACTTGTTGTCCTGATCTTGTAGGTATAGGTATTGTTGGGTGTTTCTAGAATTCTTCGATCGCCAAAATTTTCTCAAGACACCCACGTGCTGCCGGCCCTTGTGGTCGTGCATGGGCCATGTTTGGGTGGCCCATTTGGTCCTAAAATGATCCCCATGTCTTCCCAAGCATGACGGTATGCTCAGATTTGAATTTGGTTATCATTTGATGGTCGATCGGATTTATGCATATTAGGCATTATTCGGGTTCAATATGTCGGACAATTGAATCGACTCCATTTTCAAATATGTTGATATAGGTACCTCTTGGATCACGTACGAATTCGTGGATCGAGAATTAGAGTCCCAGATGCTCTGATTCAATAACTTAAATTTTGCGTAAAACGATAACCGTCCGATCGTGATATCGAGAGCGATCTGACTGCACGATCTCGACCAAACTTGCAAGATGTGTTTAGTAAGATTTGTTGAACCCGTAGAAACTTTCGGATTTGAAATCGTAGGTCATGGGCCCCGATGGCCTGATTGACCAAATTTGGAAAGTTTGACCACTCGATTGATCAATCGTCTTGTGAGTTATTCCACCATTCGATACACGTAGTTGGACCTTAGGAACTCCTCTTTTGTTGTTCACACGCTTGGAATCTTGGGAAAAACTAGCTAGGAATTTATTTTAAAGTTCTCGTTCGAAGTATTTTATTTTAATCTAGCTCTCGTATTTTTAAATAGGTACTCAAGCACCCCGTACTCAACAGGTGGGACCCTCTCAGGGTTAGACAGCTTGGGATTATCTGTGAATGGACTTCGTTTTTAAATAATATTCATTATTTTGAAGGATGGAAAAATATGCATATTGAGTGCTTTGATTTTGAGTTATTATATATTTTGAAGTTAAAATATAATATGATTATGAAAGTATTGGAATTATATTCGAATATTTGCGGATTGTGATTTATCTTGAATGGATATATGCTTTCTTTGTTTTTGAAAATTATTATCTATACATGGACATGTGTTGGGTACATGGGGTTGTTGGGAATGAGATTATGGAATGAGAGTGGGTTGTGGTTTATGTCAGTTTAGAGTGCTATTAGCACAACCCTATGTACCTCCACGGTTTTGCAATGTATGGTTTGGATACTTGGAAACTTTTGGGATACTTGAATTTGTCGAAACCCGGGCACCCTTGACGGAGTGTTTCGTAGACCCTTAGCTAGGTTAGTATGAGCACGTAGGACTTGTCACAGGCGTACAAGTATTGAGGATTCTACTGTACGTGATGTTGAGCTCAGTCCCCAGATTGGACGGCTCGTTCACTAGCCACATGGTCAATTGAGGATTCTTCAAACAATCCCCCGGTTGGATTGTTTTTCCGATGCAAGTTTGGTAGTGGTAATACTTATATATAGAGATATTATATATATATATATGTACCTATACATTCAATCTTATTTGTCGGTGAGGATCTTTCCTCGTTCGCCGTGCCAACGAGCATGTGTTTCGAGAGAGTGGTTTGGGGAAAATGGGAAAGGTTTTGAATGGGATGGATATTAGTATATCATTACGAGATATGGATTTCACTTTGGTTTTGATTTAGTTATATATATCTATCTCGGTTGGATGCACGTTTTCTGCATCATTTTCCAAACTGAGGGATTATTACATGTTGTTTTCAATTATAACAAAACTTTGTTTTTGTCTACTCACAATTTTCTGTTTTGTGCCCCCCAGGCAGTAGATAGACTTGAAATTGAGCGGCCAAGTCGAGACTCGAACTTTCAAGCCCTGACGTTCTGTAGGGCAAACTTCTACTTGTTTCGATTCCGTTGAACTCTATTTTCATTTGTAACTGAATTTCTTAGATATGCTCTGTTATGGCCCATGTTAGGGTTGAATGTAAGGCCTAAGGCCATTTATGTAAATTGCGTGTTTCTATTTTCTTCATGCTGCTGGTTGGGTTTATAATTATGTTTTAACAAGTTGAAAAATTTGGGAAATGTCCATTTTTCAAGGAAGGCTCTGCTGAAATTCCAGCAAAAAGTCTCATCCCTCTTTTCCTTGTTTTGGAAAAGAGGCTATGACGCTAGTAAGTGGGCCAGGCATCAATTTGATGTCGAAAATATTACAGGATTCGTCGCTGATGCCGAGGAATTCGGGGCAGGTCCTGTCAAATGTTGTGTAGACTCGTATTATTGAAAGAAATTTATGTGTGTATATATATATAATGGTTTGGGTCTCAAAAATACTTTCTGGAGAATCACCTATAGCATGTTCTTCAGCATAAGTGTTTTCTATAGAAGGAGTCCCAACGGGCCCTTAGAACCTGTTTGGGATTGTTGTCCGTGTTTGGTAAATAATATTTTTAAAGTGGTGTTAGTATAAAAAGCAGTGTTAAAAAACTAGATATGATATTTGGCTCTATTTCTCATCATATCATGGTTATAGGAATTTACTCTTATTACTATGATATGACACACGCTTATTCGGAAATGTTCTTAAATTCTGGATCAAGGGGTGACATGTGGGCGGTGGAAGTGAGTGGTGATGGTGATTGTGGTGGTGGTGGTGGTGGTGGTGGAGGTTGTGGTGGTGGTGGGGAAAAAGGTGGAAGTGAGGTGGGAGTGGAGGAGGATGTGGTGGTGGTATTGGTGGTGGAAGTGGAGGTGATGGTTGTGGTGGTAGACAATGTTATTTAAAAAATTTAATGATGGTATTAAGGGTACTGAAAATATTTGTTAAAGGCTCTTCTCCCTTTCTTGTGAAAGTAGCTTTCAAAAGCAACCTAGAGGATGCTTTTAAAAGAATTGCGCCAAGGAACTTGAATGAGAGAGCACGTCCCTGTTGCACCAGAAACGGTGTGCACGAGCGGCCCCCGTCATCTCCAAATATATCAAAATGACTATCGGCAACGAATATCGCTGACAGGACCTGCCCCGGAATTTCCCCCGAAACCGGGGCGGACCCTGTTTTGGTGCCGACATCACACCGATGCCGGGCCCACTTACTAAAACCCAAGACATCCTACCAAAATTTTGGCAGAGTCTCCCCTGTAAGATGCTCAAACCCAACAACATTCAACCTGCATAATTTACATAATATAAATCCCAACTGCCAGCATGCTTTCAACATACAACAATCCAAAGTAAAGTGGCCTCCGGCCTCAAGTAACAACCTAACATGGGCGATAACAGAGCATCTAACAGAATTTGATTACAACAACAGTAGAGTAGAAGGAATTTACACGAATCCTATCTACAGATGAAAAGTTGGAGCTCGCAACTTGCTTGAGCGCTTCCAAAAGCCACTACTGCCTGGGGGGCGCAAAACGGAAATATGTGAGTGGACAAAATAAAGTTTGCATTTAAAACAACATAGTAACCCCACCGTGTAAAAATAATGCTCAAGCATGCAGTTTCCACATCCATAAATCAAATACTCAAATATAAAATCTCAAAGTCCAATAACTCTCAAAAATCTCAAACCACAACTCCATTCCCAAAAGTATGCAACTCTCACCACCCATACATATGTATACATATATAAGTATATATATATATATATATCTATAATATAACGTATACTTCTCTCCATACTAATGTACCGGGGAAGACAATCCAACCGGGGGATTGTTGGCTGGTACGCAGGATTTTCGAACATGAACCCGCGTCCAGGGATGAGTAGTCCAACCGGGGGACGGAACTCCATAGCTCACACGCCGGCACTGCCAACGCCACGTGTAGCTCACAAATCTCATATCAAGTCCTACGCGCGCAGACATTATCATCACCACACCGGCACTGCCAACGCCATGCGTGATGATACTAAGCAATATACATACTCTTCCCATACACCGGCACTGCCAACGCCATGTATGAGACCAGCAATCTCATGACCTTCCCACCACACCGGCACTGCCAACGCCATGTGTGGGAAGCCTAGTAACCAGGGAATGGTACTCACCTAACATACTCATACATCTCACAACCATCCCTCAAACTCATATCTTTCCACAATCTCACAACAACAACTCCTCATACTCCATACATAGGCAATATAGATAGACATCCCACAATCCATATAAACATATCCATAATGCTCAAACATAGCCATACTCAAAATATATTGCCAATACGTATATGAATATCCAAATCCATCAACCAAATACTTAATAAATCACATTTCCATTTAAAATATATGCACAAATCTTTTATCAATAAAACCATGCAAATGCTTGAAAACCAAGTCCACTCACAGGTAATCCCACGCTGCCCAGCCCCGAGAGGGTCCTGCCTGCTGCGAATGATCGACCGAAGTACCTATTTCGAGATACGAACCCTTGATTAATATAATACACTTCGACACGGGAATTTCACAAAAGAGAAATACTTAAATCCCCAAGATCCCGGTGCGTGTACGTCCAATAGGATATCCTAAGGTCCGGTTACAGGTTTGGGAATCGCTTCCCATCCTACGGTTATCGTTAATCCCACAAACTTCGAATTATTGAATCGGAACATCCGGGGCTCCGATTCACGATCCGCGAATTCCTATAGGATTCTAAGAGTACCTAAATCAACATACTTCAGTTTGGGAACGATCCAACGGTTAGAACTTATCGAACCCGAATAACGCACAATATGCGAAATCCGTTCGATAGTCAAACGACATCCAAATTGAGATCCGTAAAATCCTACGCACTCGTGACAACCTAATGATCTCATCAGGATAAAAAGCAACTTCAACGGCCTTGCCCACGCGCCGCCACACGCGCCGGCAGCGCGTGGGTGTGTAGAGAAATTTCCGGCGACGGAAAATCTCCACACCAACGCTCACCCTTCCTACCCTAGCTTCTTCTCAAGGTCAGGATCACTTTATTCAACTACCACGAGGTCCAATTCGCACGGGAACTGGCCGGAATTTCAAATTGAAAACCGGCCAAAACCTAGGTTTCCAATTCGGTTCCAAAACTCAAAATCGATCCAAACCTACCCCACAATCAGCTAGAGCACGTAAAAAGGAGAAGAAACCTCACCTAGTTCACCGGAATTGGACGGCGGAGACGACGGCGCAACGCCGTGAAGAATCCGGTTTGAACCAGTCGGAACTGACGTCGGGATTCGAGGTTTCCGGCGGGGAAATGGGGTGGGTTGTGATCGGGGCTTCGAGACGAGTCGAACGGAACCGGTGCCGGCTCTTCCCGTTGCCGGAACTGAGAGAATCGAAGAGAGAGAAAGAGAGAATCGGGGAGAGAGAAACGGAGGAGAGAGAGTGTACGCGGGAGAGAGAGAAAGTGTGGGGGTAAAAGTGAAAAATCTGATTTTTACTCCAAACTTATCAAAATATTTACGGTTCCGCCACCGAACATATTTTGATCGCCAAAACTTCATTAAATCTCCGATTCAAGCCTACCGCCTGTCTACGATTTCGTCTCAGTACCACCTACGCAACCAAACCACTCGTGGTCCCGAAATCCTTCCGGATAAGAAAATGACCAAAATTACCCTTAACCCAAGAGTAAATTAATAATTCTCTTAATTTAATTAAAATAGGAATAAATTTGGAGTCGGGGTGTTACAATCTACCCCCCTTATAAAAATTTCGTCCCCGAAATTGACGTACCTTTCAATGGAAGAGATAAGGGTACTTGGCCCGCATTTGCTCTTCGGGTTCCCAAGTAGCTTCTTCAACAGTTTGGCTTCTCCACAAAACTTTCACTACCGGGATTGATCTAGAACGCAACCTTTGTTCTTTCCTATCCAAGATCTGTACTGGTTGCTCCTCATACGACAAATCTTCTTCTAACTCCACAGGTTGATATTCTAATACATGAGAAGGGTCTGGCATGTATTTCCGGAGCATGGATACATGAAACACATCATGTACTCGAGATAGTTCTGGGGGTAATGCAAGTCTATATGCAACAGGTCCAATTCGCTCCGTAATCTCATAAGGTCCAATGTACCGAGGGCTTAACTTCCCACGTTTCCCAAATCTCATCACACCCTTCCATGGAGATAATTTCAGGAACACCCAATCCCCAACTGCAAACTCAAGATCCTTAGACCTGTTATCTGCATAACTCTTCTGTCGGTCTTGTGCAGTTTTCAACTTCTCCTTTATCATCTTCACCTTCTCATTTGTTGCTCGGATACTATCCACTTTTTCCAGTTTCTTGTCACCCACTTCATTCCAACAAATGGGAGTCCTGCACTGCCTCCCATACAACGCCTCATAAGGAGCCATCCCAATACTTGAATGATAACTGTTATTATAAGCAAACTCCACCAAGGCAAGGTGAACATCCCACGCATCCTTAAACTGTAACACACAGGACCTCAACATGTCCTCCAGAGTCTGGATAGTCCTTTCCGATTGTCCATCGGTTTTGTGGGTGAAAAGCGGTACTAAACTGCAATCTAGTACCCATAGCTTCTTGTAAACACCTCCAGAATCGAGAAGTGAACCTAGGATCCCTGTCCGATACGATGGACACAGGTGCTCCATGCAATCTCACAATCTCATCCACAAAAAGTTTTGCCAACCTTGTCAAAGGATAGGTCTCCTTAATGGGTAGAAAATGGGCAGACTTGGTGAGTCTATCCACTATCACCCAAATTCCATCATGACCCTTTGAAGTACGTGGAAGCTTGAAAACAAAATCCATGGCAATACGCTCCCACTTCCATTCAGGAATCGGAAGTGGTTGCATGAGTCCCGATGGCTTCTGTCGCTCCGCCTTCACTTGTTGACAAATCAAACATCTACTCACATATTTGGCAATGTCTCCCTTCATATGCGGCCATGAGTAATATGCCCGTAGCGTCCGATACATCTTCGTACTACCCGGATGCATAGTGTAAGTGGAACAGTGAGCTTCCTCCATGATTTCTCTTTTCAATTCAGCATTCTTACTAGGTACACATAAACGAGCTCCTTTTACCAAGGCTCCGTCTCCCCTTATGGCATAATCCTTTCGTGTTCCATTTTCTACTTCTCCCCTTATCCTACAGAGTGTAGGATCTTCCAACTGGCCTGCAATTACCCGCTCCACCATAATGGGTCTCACATGCAAGCTAGCAAGGATTCCACCTTGTTGAGTCATCTCCATTTCTACTCCATCCTTCCGTAGTTCCACTAACAACGGAAGATAGGCCGTCCTGATGTGAGCTAAGTTCGCAGTGGTCTTTCTACTCAATGCATCTGCAACCACATTAGCTCGGCCTGGGTGATACTCAATCGTGCAATCATAGTCTTTGATCAATTCCAGCCAACGCCGTTGTCTCATATTCAGCTCCTTCTGAGTAAAGAAATACTTAAGGCTTTTGTGATCAGTGAAAATCTGACACGTCTCACCATACAAGTAGTGCCGCCAAATCTTCAAAGCAAACACCACTGCAGCAAGTTCCAAATCATGAACTGGATAATTCCGCTCATGCTTCTTGAGTTGCCTCGAGGCATAAGCAATCACCCGATCATGTTGCATCAAAACACATCCCAATCCTTGCAAAGATGCATCACTGTAGATCACGAAGCCCCCTGAGTTATCAGGAAGAGCCAAAACAGGTGCGGTGGTCAACCGCTTCTTCAACTCCTGAAAACTCTGTTCACACTCCTCCGTCCACTCAAATGCAACATCTTTCCTTGTCAACCTCGTGAGAGGTGTTGCTATCGAAGAAAACCCTTCTACAAATCGACGATAGTAACCTGCTAACCCCAGAAAACTCCGTACTTCCGTCACACTTGTGGTTGCACCCAATTCACAATAGCCTCAACTTTCTGCGGATCCACATAAATCCCTTCCGTTGAGATTACATGTCCAAGGAATACCACTCTATCAAGCCAAAACTGACACTTGCTAAATTTGGCATAAAGCTGCTTCCTCCTTAAAGTCCTTAATACCAATCTTAGATGCTTCTTATGCCCTTCCAAAGTCTTAGAGTAAACCAAGATATCATCTATGAACACAATCACAAAGTGATCCAAGTATGGTCGGAACACTCTGTTCATGAGATCCATAAACGCTGCTGGAGCATTCGTCAGTCCAAACGGCATCACCAGAAATTCATAATGACCATACCGCGTTCTGAATGCGGTCTTAGGAACATCCTCTTCTCTAATCCTCAATTGATGGTACCCTGATCTCAGATCAATCTTAGAGAAATACTTGGCATCTTTCAACTGATCGAACAAATCATCAATCCGAGGCAAAGGATACCGGTTACGTACTGTCACCTTATTCAACTGCCGGTAATCAATACATAACCTCATGGTCCCATCCTTCTTCCTCACAAACAACACCGGTGCACCCCATGGGGAAACACTAGGTCGGATGAAACCCATATCCACTAATTCCTGCAACTGAGTCTTCAACTCCCGAAGTTCGGATGGTGCCATCCTATAAGGAGTTAGATAGATAGGATTGGTGCCTGGAAGGAGTTCAATAGTAAACTCGATTTCCCTTTCAGGAGGTAACCCAGGAAGATCATCTGGAAAGACATCAGGAAACTCACTAACAACGGGAATATCTTCCAGATTCAAGGTGATCTCTCGAGTGTCGATGATATGAGCTAAGAATCCTTCACACCCTTTCTGGAGTAACCTCTTAGTTGTAATAGCAGAGATAAGGCAAGTAGGGAGGATTCTATGTTCTCCCCGGAATATCACTTTGGGTTGTCCTGGACTCTGGAGTGTCACTTCCTTCCGGAAACAATCCACGGACGCATGATGCTTCTCTAGCCAATCCATCCCCAAAATAACATCGAAATCCACCAAATCTAAGGGAATCAAATCGGCTTCCAACCACGCATCATCTACTTGAACATAACATTCTCTGAACACCCAGTCTGCATACAAGACTTCCCCTTAAGCAGAAAGGTAGCCAAACGGACTCTATCCCCATCTGGGCACTCCAGCACCTCAAAAATCCTCTCCACATCAGAGATCCAACTCTCAGCCTCTGCTGGGTCTGGGCCACCCATGAACTCTTTTGCCCCAAGTTCCTTTACCCTTTTGATTTCAGAACTTTCTGTGCCACGCCTCCCCCGCAAGGCGGTAGTCATCGTGCGCGTAAATTGGCTTAGCACCTGGCGCAAGTCCAAGGCATTCTCTCCAGCAGGTGGAGATGGTGGAGGAGATGGAACTAGTGGCGAAGGAAGTGGTGACGGAGATGGTGGTGGAGGATTTGGCCCCCATCTCTGACCACGACCTCGCGTTCTTGGTCGACGAGTCGACATGGTTCTACACAAAGAAACCATAAAATCATTGGATCAACAATGCAGCAAAAGCGCAAAAGTCGAAGGAAAATGAACCTAGTGCTCTGATACCAAGCTGACAGGACCCGCCCCGGAATTTCCCCCGAAACTGGGGCGGACCCTGTTTTGGTGCCGACATCACACCGATGCCGGGCCCACTTACTAAAAACCCAAGACATCCTACCAAAATTTTGGCAGAGTCTCCCCTGTAAGATGCTCAAACCCAACAACATTCAACCTGCATAATTTACATAATATAAATCTCAACTGCCAGCATGCTTTCAACAGTAGAGTAGAAGGAATTTACACGAATCCTATCTACAGATGAAAAGTTGGAGCTCGCAACTTGCTTGAGCGCTTCCAAAAGCCACTACTGCCTGGGGGGGCGCAAAACGGAAATATGTGAGTGGACAAAATAAAGTTTGCATTTAAAACAACATAGTAACCCCACCGTGTAAAAATAATGCTCAAGCATGCAGTTTCCACATCAATAAATCAAATACTCAAATATAAAATCTCAAAGTCCAATAACTCTCAAAAATCTCAAACCACAACTCCATTCCCAAAAGTATGCAACTCTCACCAACCCATACATATGTATACATATATATATATATCTATAATATAACGTATACTTCTCTCCATACTAATGTACCGGGGAAGACAATCCAACCGGGGGATTGTTGGCTGGTACGCAGGATTTTCGAACATGAACCCGCGTCCAGGGATGAGTAGTCCAACCGGGGGACGGAACTCCATAGCTCACACGCCGGCACTGCCAACGCCACGTGTAGCTCACAAATCTCATATCAAGTCCTACGCGCGCAGACAGTATCATCACCACACCGGCACTGCCAACGCCATGCGTGATGATACTAAGCAATATACATACTCTTCCCATACACCGGCACTGCCAACGCCATGTATGAGACCAGCAATCTCATGACCTTCCCACCACACCGGCACTGCCAACGCCATGTGTGGGAAGCCTAGTAACCAGGGAATGGTACTCACCTAACATACTCATACATCTCACAACCATCCCTCAAACTCATATCTTTCCACAATCTCACAACAACAACTCCTCATACTCCATACATAGGCATTATAGATAGACATCCCACAATCCATATAAACATATCCATAATGCTCAAACATAGCCATACTCAAAATATATTGCCAATACGTATATGAATATCCAAATCCATCAACCAAATACTTAATAAATCACATTTCCATTTAAAATATATGCACAAATCTTTTATCAATAAACCATGCAAATGCTTGAAAACCAAGTCCACTCACAGGTAATCCCACGCTGCCCGGCCCCGAGAGGGTCCTGCCTGCTGCGAATGATCGACCGAAGTACCTATTTCGAGATACGAACCCTTGATTAATATAATACACTTCGACACGGGAATTTCACAAAAGAGAAATACTTAAATCCCCAAGATCCCGGTGCGTGTACGTCCAATAGGATATCCTAAGGTCCGGTTACAGGTTTGGGAATCGCTTCCCATCCTACGGTTATCGTTAATCCCACAAACTTCGAATTATTGAATCGGAACATCCGGGGCTCCGATTCACGATCCGCGAATTCCTATAGGATTCTAAGAGTACCTAAATCAACATACTTCAGTTTGGGAACGATCCAACGGTTAGAACTTATCAAACCCGAATAACGCACAATATGCGAAATCCGTTCGATAGTCAAACGACATCCAAATTGAGATCCGTAAAATCCTACGCACTCGTGACAACCTAATGATCTCATCAGGATAAAAAGCAACTTCAACGGCCTTGCCCACGCGCCGCCACACGCGCCGGCAGCGCGTGGGTGTGTAGAGAAATTTCCGGCGACGGAAAATCTCCACACCAACGCTCACCCTTCCTACCCTAGCTTCTTCTCAAGGTCAGGATCACTTTATTCAACTACCACGAGGTCCAATTCGCACGGGAACTGGCCGGAATTTCAAATTGAAAACCGGCCAAAACCTAGGTTTCCAATTCGGTTCCAAAACTCAGAATCGATCCAAACCTACCCCACAATCAGCTAGAGCACGTAAAAAGGAGAAGAAACCTCACCTAGTTCACCGGAATTGGACGGCGGAGACGACGGCGCAATGCCGTGAAGAATCCGATTTGAACCAGTCGGAACTGACGTCGGGATTCGAGGTTTCCGGCGGGGAAATGGGGTGGGTTGTGATCGGGGCTTCGAGACGAGTCGAACGGAACCGGTGCCGGTTCTTCCCGTTGCCGGAACTGAGAGAATCGAAGAGAGAGAAAGAGAGAATCGGGGAGAGAGAAACGGAGGAGAGAGAGTGTACGCGGGAGAGAGAGAAAGTGTGGGGGTAAAAGTGAAAAATCTGATTTTTACTCCAAACTTATCAAAATATTTACGGTTCCGCCACCGAACATATTTTGATCGCCAAAACTTCATTAAATCTCCGATTCAAGCCTACCGCCTGTCTACGATTTCGTCTCAGTACCACCTACGCAACCAAACCACTCGTGGTCCCGAAATCCTTCCGGATAAGAAAATGACCAAAATTACCCTTAACCCAAGAGTAAATTAATAATTCTCTTAATTTAATTAAAATAGGAATAAATTTGGAGTCGGGGTGTTACAATCTCGGCTCTTGCATTGATGAAGAACATAGCGAAATGCTATACTTGGTGTGAATTGCAAAATCCCTTGAATCATCGAGTCTTTGAATGCAAGTTGCATCACATCGTTACCCCCCCCCCCCCCCCCCCCCCCCCCCCCCCCCCCCCCCCAACTACTACCCGGACTTGCAGGGGGCAGATGATGGCCTCATGTACGCTTCGTCCCGTAGTTGGCATAAACACAAAGTCCTCAATGACACACGCCACAATAATAGGTGGTTGTGAAACTTCGATTGCCTGTTGTGTGTAGTCATCGCACATTGAGTGCTTGAAGAAATGCTTGGCTCTAGCTTTGTTTTCAACGCCACCCCAGGTCAGGCAGTACCCGCTGAATTTAAGCATATCAATAAGCGGAGGAAAAAAAAACCTTACAAGGATTCCCCTAATAACGACGAGCTAATCGAGAATAGCCCAACTTGAGAATCGGGCGCCATGGCATCCGAATTGTAGTTTGGAGAAGCATCCTCAAAGGTGGAAAGAGACCCATTGTGCTTGAACCATGTTGCACCAAGAGTCGTTGTCGATTACTCGGGTTGTTTGGGAATGCAGCCCCAATCAGGCGGTAAATTCCGTCCAAGGCTAAATACGGGCAAGCGGCCAATAGCAAACAAGTAGCGTGAGAGAAAGATGAAAAAGACTTTGAAAGAGAGTCAAAGAGTACTTGAAATTATAGGGAGGGAAACATATGAGGGCCGGTGATATCCCCCAGTCGGATATGGAAAGGTCATAAGCTTGTTCGCTAATTGGCTCGAGGCGTTGACTAATGCAGATTGTAGCAGCGGCAGCAGCCAATGTTCGTGACAAGACCTGACCCAAATTCCACTTTGGAATCTGAGTCGAACCCTGTGCGTGTCCGACACATGGCGGGTGCTGGGTACAAATGACCAAATTGCCCTTCTAACTAAAAACCAAATTTACTTCAAATTTGATTTCTGTCGAAAATTTCGGCAGAGTCTCCTCTATAAAAGTTCATTTCCCAAAAATTTCCCCTTGTCAAACAAACATATATATATTCCCAACTGTTCACCATGCATCTATTTACATCCAAACACTTCAATCATAAATAAGTGGCCTCATGCCATACAGTAATCCTAGGGCAATATCAGAGCAACTAGTTCAGAAATTTATAACAGGACAATTCAATTACATAAGAAATCCTACATAAAGAAAGGGTGGAGCGGAGTGCGGTGGCGCTCTGGTGCACGACTACTGCTTGGGGGTGCAAAACATTGAAAAATGTGAGTGGACCAAAAATAAAGTTTTAGAAAATAGCATATGAACATACTAACCCCTCTGTAAAAACATTTAGTAAAACTCAGTTATATCAATGTTCTATATTCGTACAAAAATCAACATGCGTATCTACATGCATATAATCGGTTTTGCATTCAATCAAATCATCAAAAACCGTTGAAAACATTGAAAAGTGATAATTTCCTCCCACCTAGGTGTACCCTTAATATATCCGTCAATTCCTTAGTTTTCCGTCAATTCCTTGTGTCACATTTGTGACACATCCTTGTAGGTCTCGGTAACACAAAGTTGACCCGAGCCGTAATCCTCACAGGATTCAAGGGACATTTAGTCAACATGATCCTCATTCCTCGCTCGGCACGGTCTGGGTACCCCTAGGACTTGTGGGGCAAAAGTCAAACGCACCGACTAAACCAAAGGCAACTAGCATGTCTGTGGACATCGTCATATCTGAAGGCAACAATTTATTTCGAAGGCAACATTTAATCCGAATGCAACATTTATTCCAAAGGCAACCTTGGGTACTTATGGTGGTTTTTAAAATAAATATATTTCGGAAAAAGATTAAAGATTATAAAACTATTTCTGAATTATGCTTAAATCCTGCTGCCATTCTTAAAACTATAATTTAATTTCTCATCAAACCACTCAATCTGGTAATCACCTCATTTCTTTCCAAGCCCTTTATCATTCCCAACATAGCCGCATATAAATAAAACATTTAAATCCAATTAAACATGCTTGGAAAGCCATAGTCAATAATAACTTATTCAAGATAAAATAACGAAAATTAATTGCATAAAATCATTTATAAAACAAAAGTTCACTCACTGAGTGTCCGAGCTCGCTTGGCTCTTTGAAGGTCCCTCTTGCGAGTCCGATGGAGACCAAGTACCGATTTAAACCATTACAAATATTTAATTAATAAATAGCTCAACATAATCATTTAATCCAAAACCCTGACCACCGGCTTCTAAAAGTACGTGCACATAGTCTGAGACCATTCTTATGCCCACTTAAGCATTTCCAATTATTAGAACGGTCTGAAAAGACCCGAGACTCGTTAAGAAATAAATTTCCATATTGGTCAACCTGGGACCCCATGGGGTCCACGCTCTCCAATTATCAATCTGAGAGTTCATATAGGTTCTACACATTTTAATATCATGTCCTGCAAGTTCAGCCCAAATCGGACGGTCGGATTGATCACGATCGGACGATTACGGTTTATTTAGCCATAGGGTTTGTGATTTTGGAGTATCCGGGACTCTGATTCACGATCCGTCGAACCCTATACAATCCTAGAAACACAAGGTACAACATACGTGAATTTGAGTTCGATCTAACGGTCCGAACATGTCAAACCCGGAAATCTCATAATAGGCAAAATCCGTTTGAGGCTCAAACAATATCCGACACACCTACACATTGGTGACAACTAGGGGATTGCATCGGGACACAATGCCCCTCTGCGGTGTCCTAAGCGATATCGTTTGCCAGAAAACTTCAAAATCAAGGCCCAAGATCCCCACCACAAGTTCAAGACATCAATTGGAACCACTTTTGTTCTTAGACCTACCCTAAAAAATGACCTGAAGTGGCCGGATTTCAACCCGAAATCCGACCAAACTTTGGGTTACAAATTGAGTTACCTATGCTAGAAATTGATCAAATCCTACCTAACCATCAGCTAGAGCATGAAAAATAGGTGAGAAACCATACCTCACTCATCGGAATTGGTGGCCGGTGGAGGAAGAGCGAGGCCGGTGAAATTTGGGTGGCTGAGACGGCAGCTAGCGGTGGGAGGAGGCTGGGGTGTGACGGCAGGGCTAGGCTGGTTGCTTTGGGACCGGTTTTGTGGGTCGAGGTGGCCGGATGGGGTGGTTATGGAGGAAGAGGGTGACGGCTAAAGTGAAATATCGGGGGAGGGGGGTTCTGCGCAATCACGGGAGAGAGAGGGAGAGAGAGAGAAGAGAAGAGAGAGAGAGAGAGAGAGAGAGAGAGAGAGAGGAGAGGAGAGAGAGAGAGAGGAGAGAGAGAGAGAGAGAGAGATTAAA